AGTCTTATCAACCTCCCCCAAACCCGCTGCCCTTCTGTAATCTGTCCTCATTTGCCTCTCTGGACATCTCCTGGACTACTTTATGGGACCCTTCCGGATTTCCGCGCATGCCAATGGACCAAGACACTAAAAAGGTGAAATTCCTTTGGGTTCAAAAGACAGGAAAACCGTGCACACTTCCTCTGTTTACTGGCCTGACAGATAGCAGTGTTCCTGGGTAGGCCAAGTCCTCCTCCCAGTCTACTTTTTACTCCTCTAATCCTCCTTCTCTTTTAGCTATATAAACACAGAGACTGGAGCTTGTATGATCTACCGGTACGAAAAACAATAAAAGAGTACGCCACACAAAAGGGTAATCGGTCTGGCTCGGTTAAATATTTGGACATGCTATTAGCAGTTCAAAGTTGGGTGGAGAGGTGAGGACAAATTTATGGCTGTTCGTTATTGCATTGGACAGTGCATTGTATATGGGGTTTATAAGCCTGGTGCACACCCATGGAATTAAAAGGATTCAAAATGTTAATAGGTTCAGCCAAAAATGACGCGCTTTTTAAGAACTTTTTTAAATGGCCCATATTACGCTATTTTCTGATCTATGTTATAATGTTTAAATGTTTCCTCATCAAAAACCTGGAGTTGTGTTTTGTTTCATTCACATGTTTAACACACAAACCCTGCATATTTAGGCTGAGTTCTTCTGTCAAACGGAAAAAACTCTGTTCCACCTTGTGATGGCATGTGGTAATACAGGAAGTGCTCTACTAGGTGTGTGCAAAAATATCAAAATATCGATATATCGTACTGTTTAATGTGATGATACAGTATCGATGTTGGGGACTGCTGTATTGATATATTGCCAAGAGTAATTTTTGGTATATTTTACAAAATTATTTTGTTACAACATTACAGTTTAGTTGCTTCTTTGGAGAAAGGAAACTTTTGACATTTTCACTGTTTTGATAATTAAAATGTTTCTGTTTCATATGAACTTTGCACAAGAAGTGGTTTAACAAAGACTTTTAGTATGACAGCAATCACACCATTATTTTTTTATTGAATGATATCGAATTGATTTCAAATATATCATATCAAACCGAAAGTGCACTGTATCAAGATATGTATTGTATCATGGCCTATTTATCGAGGTATGTCCCGTATCGGCAACTTCTTAATGATACCCAGCTCCATACACTCCATACACCTTCGCTTGTATCATTTAGATGATCTCTGCCTTGGAAATGACAATCTCTACTAAACAAAAGTTTAAAGGTGCTGTTAACTTGAAAACTGCCACTACATGACATCATTAGGAGGAAAAGAGCATTTCAAGCTTTGGAGATGTAGACAAACAGGTTTTGTATGCATTGCTAACACTTTGTAGCAAGTAGCATGCATCATGTATTGCAAACAAAGCCTATTTTAATTTTTTACTTCTGGGTTTATAGAAAATGCAGGCAACCAGTAAAAAATATACACTGGCAACCTAGGAACTGTGTTGATCATTAAAACAATTTATATAGCATATTTCCCATATGTCAACACAAAACGCTAACAGCTAACCACACATGGAGAGTGTCAGAAAGCATTAGCCTGCTGATTTGAATGGCTTTTACTCCTGTTAGCGCTGGACATGATGCTAGTTTTAACGCTGCAGTCTGGACTCCCTTTAGCTGCATATTTATGCTAATGTAGACTTATGCTAACCTTTCTGCGGCTAGCATGGTTCAAGTGTAGAATAACATGAACACACAGACTCGCCTAACCACGGAGAAATGAGAAAAAGGAAAACTGAAGTGGTCTCTCTACATTAAAATTGATACAAGATTTGTTTAAATATTTAAGATTTTCCAAGTTTTACAGTTAAGATATTGTTATTAAAATAAACATTAATTCACACCGTGAGCGCCTGAGAGAGTGACAGCAGGGTACAGGAGCTAACCACTCAGACGGCCATTCACCAACCCATCACCTCTGCTCCCACATCTACACCCACCCCCACCACACGTGAGAAGGTAGCTGGAGAAAGAACACCAAAACTGGTCTCCTGGACTAGACCAAGTCAACCCCTGCGTGCTGAGGACATGTGCAGCACAGCTCACTGGGATCCTGCACTTCACCCTGAGTCTGAAGTTTGAAAGGATACCAGTGCTATGACCTCCTGCATTGTGCCAGTGCCCAAGAAGCCTACTCCATCTGGATTTAATGACAGTTGCTCTAACATTTCATGTCATGAGGGTGTTTTAGAGACCTGGTGGCACCATCCCTGGGTTCTCTACCGTTTGCCTATCAGTGCCATTTACGCCTGGAAGATGTGTTTATCTTCTGCGGCGGGCTCACTCACACCTGGATAGTGTTAAGGGCTTTCTGGTGAAAGGATGGGTGTCAGCTCCTCTGTTGTCTCCTGGATTACTGACTACCTGTCAGGCAGGCCTCAGTACGTGCGACTGGGGACCACCCTGTCTGATACAGTGGTCAGTAATGTAGGAGCTCCTCAGGGTACAGTCCTGTCTCCATTTCTGTTCATTCTGTACACCTCTGATTTCCAGAATAGCTCTGGGTCCTGGCACCTGCAGAAGCTCTCTGATGACTTTGCAATGGTTGGGTGTATCAGAAATGGTCAGGAACTAGAGTACAGGACACTGATTGCTAATTTTGTGGAATGGCCCCAGGCAAACAATCTGCTCCTGAGCGCTGAAAAGATCAAGGAACTGGTGACTGACTTCAGGAGAAAGGGGACACCAGTGGAGCCTGTCAACATCCTGCTACAACTACGTTGGTGTCCATATGAACAATAGACTGGACTGGACAGACACCAGTAATGCTGTGTACAAGAAGGGCATGAGTAGGCTCTACTTTCTGAGAAAGCTCAGGTCTTTCAATGTGTGCAGCAAGTTACTGGAGATCTTCTACCAGTCTGTGCAGGCCAGCGCCCTGTACTTCGCTGTGGTCTATGGAGGAGCACCACCAGTAAAAGGGACATTGGGCAGATTGACAAACTGATCCGTAAAGCTGGTCACGTGATCGTCTGTGAGCTGGAGACATTTGTCACAGTGAGGGACAGGAGGACACTGGACAAACTGCTCTCCATCTTGGACACTCTTGCTCACCCACTGCACCAGACTATAGAGGGACAGAGGAGCTCATTCTCCAACAGGCTCCTACAGCTTCACTCGGACAGTGAGATACAGGACTCCATTGATACCATACTCCATTTAACTGTACAGCAACTCACCCTTATGTAACAGATAACCCTATGTCCTGTCAATCATTGTATCATTTTTGCACTGTCTTCCTATGACCTCTTGTATATAGCTGAGATTTTAAATTTTTTATTATTACTTATTTTTCTGTTTTATTTTAACATCGGTCTCTTGCTATCTTTTATGCTACTTATTTAGAATTTATTATTACAATTTATTTTTTACCTTTTGTTATTGTATTATATTGTGATGAGTGAGCTACTGTGTCCAAGTAATTTCCCTTGTGGATTGATAAAGTTTCTCTAAGTCTAAGTTTATACAAGTTCTATTGTAGTTAAACCGAGTTTCTTAGGAAGCATGGCACACTGGATCACAAGTATTATTTTGAAAACATCTTTCAATTTATTATTTTTTGTCTATCATAATTTAACAGATGGACTATAACTTGCTCAGCATCTGTTCCTGTCAGATTTCATTTTCTTTTATGGATGTCGTTCAAAAAAGGAAATACCGCCAGCCTGTCTTTCAATAAAACTCTTTCTATGAATAAAATTTAAATACATGATCTTTTCTGTCTGTGTAAAATATATTTTTATTACATGTATAAATATGCTGCAGCACAACTGGGGATAGAGCCAGGTGTTTACTGACTGATTCAAAGGTTGTCGGGTTGATTAGATTCCTGACTTTGGACGCTGGGACATTGTGTCATTGGGCAAAACACTGAACCTGACAGTCTCCAATGTTTGTGTGTGCACTGAATGAATAAGTGAATGGGTGAATGACTCATCAATGGAAGGTGCTTTGAGTTTCCAATTCACATATACTAGTGTTAAAATGTTGAGTAAAATAAAAATGTGCTTCATGTAGTTCACACGATTATCCAAATACATTAAAGACAATCACTTACGAGTATGGATGGGTGGGTGTCTTGCCCAAGGACACAATGACAGTGTATGCTCTGGTAAGATTCAAAATAGCAACTCCGTAGTTAGTGAGCAAACACTGACTCAATAAAACAATGGGAGTCAAGAAATTCAAGAAATTACCACTAATGTAAATTGGAAGTACAACCAGACAGAATATTTTAGAGGATACCTTTCAGACTTTGTAGACTTTTTTTTTTTTTTTTTCCACTTTTCACCATGTTATTGTTGTTTCCCTCTCAAATACCCCCTCAATGTTGTATAAAGTTGTATTTAGAGCAGGGGTGTCTAAACTTTTTGTCAAGGGCCACATATCAAAACAGATCAAATGGAGGGCCGATCTTGTGCTCAATAAAGTGAATAATTCAAAAATGTGCATTCATAAAAGGTTAGAATGGGTCACCAGATTTTGATTAAGCCCAAATATTTGATATTGGCTTCATCAAGGTTGATTAAAAAAAATAAATAAATAAAACTTGCAGTAAAAAGTACTGTTAAGGTAATATGGGCCAATTCATGAAGCCTGAGGGTTGAAAAAATAGTCTGATGGCCTCTTTTGGTCCCTGGGCCATAGTTTGGCCATGCAAGAGTTAAAGTTATTCATCCATGTTTAAGTCATCTTTATTCTCCTGTATTCAAGACATCTTTCCGATCAAGCGCTGTTTTCACAGCCAATGGCACATACCCACTGCTTCATTCAATGAAAATTACAAATTGTTTATTCTAGTTTTGGCATTTCGATTTTTTGGCTTGAGTTCCTGCGTGTGTAAGGTCCAGATAGCATTTAAAAAATACCCCAAATGTCAACAGTTATTTTGCAGATTAATTGCACTATTTTTTGGTTGTGAGATGAAAGAAAATGTTGTTAGCAAAATCAAAGCAAAGAAACTGACCCCAGAGTTAGAAAGAAGAAGAAGATGGGCATGCAGTGTAATGTAGCGCCCCTGCTGGTTGGACACAGAGGCTCATCCTGGAAACCAGCAAGGTCATGAGATGATCCACCACCACCAAAAAGAAGAAGAGCAGAAAATGGAAAAGAAACAAGCATGCAGAACATATATTCAAGATGGAGAAGAGAAAAACACAAAATCATGTGGATGTGGTTAAACGATCAGCCAAGAGTTTTTTGAGGAGTCAAAGTAATATAAAACAGAGTGACAGATTGACACAGTGCTAATGGAGATGTTTTCAAGCATGTTCTGCCCGATGGCTGAGATTTCATGGTCAGAGAAGAAATACATCTGACATGAAATAGTAGCAGTATACTTATAACTTAAAGGGCCCATATTACCATATTTTCTGGATCATATATTGAGATTTACAGTCAACTGAATATAGTCAACTACACCACCAAACTTGAATGAAATATAAGTTATAAAATGTTTTAAATCATGAGATCAGTGAATGTAATTAATTAAGTTTTGTGAAAGATATATAAAAAAAATAAATAAACAAAAATCGGATGTATTCTGAATCAATTCGAGAATTGTGCAATGAAGTATCACAATATATCACTAAATCGACTTTTTCTTACACCCCTAATACCTGGAGTTGTGTTTTGTTTCATTCACACATGTTTAACGTACAAATCCTGCATATTTAGGATGAGTTCTTACCTCAAACAGAAAACACTCTGTTCCACTTTGTGATGTCATGTGGTAATAAAGGAAGTGCTTTTGAAGTTTTTAAACTCCATACACCCTCACTAGAATCATTTGGATAATTTCAGTCCTGGAATCACCAATCTCTACTAAACAAAATATAAAAAGAGCTGTTTACATGAAAACTCCCACTTCATGACATCACAAGGTGAAACAGAACCTAAATATGCAGGGTTTGTGTGTTAAACATGTGTGAATAAAACAAAACACAACTCCAGATATGTCTTTGATGAGGAAACAGCATCACAACATAGAGTACTACAGGCCCTTTAATGAAGTACATGTTCATTATGAATTAAGTCTTAAGTCTAATTAAGGTGTACTTAGTCATTATAAAGTTGTATCCATATTTTGGGTTTCTAAAAAGTTATTTAGGTAATTAGAGTTTTTGTATTTTAATTTACAGACAGAAAACAATTAGAAAGTAGTTAATTTATTTTATTTGTCTCAACAGTCATTGTGGTTAGTAGTTGGTTGGTTTGCTAGTGATTTATGATTTCTGTTAACCACATGAATGTTTGCTCAACAATAGTTAAAAGAATGAATGTTTAATGTGGGGCAGACACTCTCAAACTCTGGGATTTACTGGCAGAGTTTTAAAAAATGTGACTTTTTTTTTTTTTAACTAAACAAGTGAAAACAAGACAAGAAACAAGAAAAACTACTTGCTGCAGCTGCTACTACTACTACTACTGTTACTACTACTACTACTGCTACTACCACTACTACCGCTACTGCTGCTGCTGCTGCTGCTGCTGCTACTACTGCTAATACTACTACTACTACTACTACTGTTACTACTACTACTGCTACTACCACTACTACCGCTACTACTGCTGCTGCTGCTGCTGCTGCTACTACTACTACTACTAGTTACTACTACTACTACTGCTACTACTGCTGCTGCTGCTGCTGCTACTACTACTGCTAATACTACTACTACTACTGTTACTACTACTACTGCTACTACCACTACTACCGCTACTACTACTGCTGCTCCTACTGCTACTCCTACTGCTAATACTACTACTACTACTACTGTTACTACTACTACTACTACTGCTACTACCACTACTACCGCTACTACTACTGCTGCTGCTGCTGCTGCTACTACTACTACTGCTATTGCTACTGCTGCTCCTACTGCTACTCCTACTGCTAATACTACTACTGCTACTGCTGTTACTATTACTACTACTACTGCTGCTGCTACTGCTGCTGCTACTGCTACTCCTACTGCTACTGTTGCTACTACTACTACTTCTGCTGCTCCTACTGCTGCTGCTACTCCTACTGCTACTGCTACTACTACTACTACTGCTACTGCTACTACTACCACTACTATTACTGCTGCTGCTGCTGCTACTGCTACTACTACTGCTACTACCACCACTACCACTACCACTACCACTACTACGACTACTGCCACTACCACTACCACTGCTACTACTACTAGAAATTACACTATGAAGAGGCAAAGCTTTGCACAGAAAATCAATGAAACTATTTCTATTCTTAGACTGTTTTAGACCAACATTACAGTTTGCAATGATCAAACTGTAAAATAATGACCTACATGCAGTACCAGACACACCCTCTCATTCAGAGTTTTATTTCTTTATTTTTACTACTTCCTACATTTTAGATACACATGGAAGACATCAGCTATATGAAGCAAGACATGGATTTATGTAGTAAAGAAAAAAGTTAAAGAATACATTAAATTTTTTTAAATATATATATTTTATATTCAGATCCTCAAATTAGCCACCTTTGCTTTTAAAAAACTCTCCTGAATATTTTCGACAAAGCAAAGGGCTACGTGGAGGATTTGAAAATAAAATACAAAAAAATTGTAGAGTTACAGTATTTACCTTTTTTCTTTGCCATATAATTCCATATATCTTACTAGTATATAAAATGTAAAAAGCACTAAAAATTACGATAAAAAAATGAAAGAGGTTGTGTTCAAATTTCTTACAATTTCATAATAAATGTAAACAAAAGCAAATATGTCTCTTTCACACTTACATTTTCATTGTTGTCGAAGCAGACATCAGGGCCTTTGCGGTACCGAGGATTTTGGGCGAGCTCGCACTGGTCTGGTCCTTCAGCTGAACTCTGCGCTCAGGAAAAAAAAACGGTGAAGTTGCACATTTAGGGATCTACATTTCAATGACGTGCTGATGCAGAGGTTTAGCAATAATGGGATTCCTCATTAGCATTAGCCTGCAGGGTGCCACCAAGGTGCTGGGAAGGGTACAGAGGTTAAAACATGACCTAAGCTAGCACAATTTTAAATTTTAGTGAGTGCAATCATTTTTGATGTCACACTAATTTGACTCTTGTAAGATTTAAGCCATATTATAATGCTTGTATTTTGTTTAATCCACACTTTATTAGTCTAAATCTGCAAATCTCGAGATGCTCTGCTCCACCTTGTGATGCCATAAAGTGGTAGTTTTCAAGTTAGCAGCTACCTTTTTACCTTTAGATCAGTAGAAATTGTCAAATGATTCTAGTGAAGGTGTACGGAGTTTAAAAACAAACTGAAGCACTTCTTGTATTACCACATGACATCACTAGATGGAACAGTATTTTCTGTGAGAAGAGAGAAGAACTCAGCCTGAAATATGCAGGATTTGTGTTAAATGTGTGAATGAAACAAAAAACAACTCCAGGGATTCTTGTGATGAGGAAACAACATTACAACACACACTGCAGATCAGAAAATTGCATAAAATAGGCCATATAACCCAGAAGGCACCACTGAATGTATTCTTGCTATGAGGTCGATTTCTGAACATTTTGAGAGGTGGGTAGAGTGGCCAAAAACTGCACTCAAGTAAGAGTAACGTTACTTCAAAATAATATTACTCAAGTAGAAGTACAAAGTAGTGGTCCAAGAAATTACACAAGAGTAACTGTCAGGACATAACATCTGATTTATAATTTGAACTTCATTTAATTTGAAGGACAAAACATTAAATAATGCACAAAATCTGGTATTTTCAATGGATGGACACAAAAATAGACAAACTAAATCGTATCTGATGAAGCTGTGTAAGAAACACAAAAAGTCTTTTCATATTGGGGTCAGTCCACCTCAGTTCATCCAATGAGTTAAACCCTACTTTGTCAAATTTTGATGAAGCTTGGTATCAGTAACTTTTGGTACTGTGTGATTGACAATTTTTCTTGAAGTATATCAACTTGGACCCTGTGTGTATAAATGTATAGCTGTATACACTGAACTGATATTTGGCATGTCTTAAGATGGAGGCAAGTCAACTTCTAGGTAAATTTGTGTGGAAATACTGCTCTGAGATGCTGCTAATGAATTGCCCTATGGGATCAATAAAGTTTTCTGAATCTGAAATAAAAAAGAAAACCCCTCTAGATTTTTTATACATTGTCGTAGACATATAGGGCTACATTTTTTCAGTTGGTGTCATTGAGATCGAGCGTGTCCTTTATTGTCAACGATTAGGATTCCTTATGATTTCCCCTTTCCAGAGATACCTTGGTTTTTTATATCCTGAAGTATACCAGTAGTTGCTGAGTAAATGCAATTTGAAATTCGGCAGCCACGAAAAAAGTGAAAAAAATGAAACTGCGATATCTCAGCAACCGTTTCTCATCATGCTAAAATTTGAGATTTTGGCTTTCTTGGCTATGACTTATCCATACACCCATTTTCTTTGCAACTGAAGAAGGTGAGGGTTCAAATTGGAATTTTTTTGGGTGAACTGAGGTGGAATGACCCATTGTCAACATAAAGCTTTTGTGACTTGTTGACATACTCACAGTGGAAAGAGGAACCAACCGTTTGACTTAAGTAAGAGTACTGTTACTTCATTAAAAATATTACTCAATTAGAAGCGAAAATGTGCCGCCAGAAAAGTACTCTGAGATATAAATGTAACTGTAAATTTAGATGTGTAACTGAGTACTACCCACCTCTGCATTTTGATCTGTTTTAGTGAAAGCAAAATATCCTATTCCTCCTTGATCAAATCTGGCAAACATCAGGTACTTTAGTCATTTTAATATCCATATTTTATCAATTTGATATGCAAACAATTATCAACTGCATACGGAGTTCCAATTACCCAGCTATAATCAAATTCATACTAATAATTTTTGACATTTTGTGAGATTTCTCTGGATAAAAACATGAAAACTGCAGACTCCCTTATTGCTTCCATAAAACTTATAGGTTACCACAGTTCAGTAAGCACCAGTCCGCTGCACATGCTACCTAGCCTAACATCTGGACTTTTATGACTGCATCTGGAATCCTATCAGCTCACTTAAATCCATCTTCATCGTGCTGAGGGTGAGGCAATGTTATGCTAACTGCTGCTATTTGGACCACAGATCTGGCAACGCTGTACGATTCTGGTATGTTTTAACACTGTAAATGCAAACAACATGGGAGCTACTGGCAGGTGCTTCGCTTCACAAGTATTTATATGAAATTTTAGAAAACTTTTCACAGCGTCTTGGATTGCTGATAATTTGCATAGATTCATGGTTGGATTGAATTGGAATGGACTGTAATAAAACGAGTAGACTAAATCAGGACTACTAAACAATTGACTAGAAGCATAAAATAGGGCACATGGTGAGTTGTGGTGTATTTAATTAAAGGTCCCACATTACGCAGAATTGACTCTTGTGAACTTTAAGCCATCGTATAACATTGTGACCTCATCTAAAGCATACCAGGAGTTGTGTTTTGTTTCATTCACACATGTTTGACTAATCCTTTATTATTAGTCTGTTTACCTCCGTGAAGTTGGCCCTTCATCAAACGGAAACCTACGCAAAAACTATGTCAATCGCTTGTGCTCTGCGCTGTAAAAAATTTTTGAGATATTAACAATTCTTTTATAGGTCAAATTGGGGTCAGTCAATGCTATAAAACAAACCAAAATGGTGTCAGTTTTTTCTGTTTTGTTTGTGCTGTTTTGAGCTGCAAAAAGTTTTGTTTGTACCATTATGGTTCTTAAAGATATTAGCTGTTTTATTTTTGGCTAATGACATCATCCAGCCTCTCAAAATGTTACATAGTGCTCAAAACGGGCAGAAAATTATATGAAATGTTTGTATTTCTTTTGTGCTGTTTTGTGCTGTGACCATTTTTATTTGTGCTAGTATATTTCTAAAATGATTAATTATTATTTTTGCTAAAATTAATGACGTCATTTCTACTCTAGCTGCTACTGTTAGCTGAGTGAAAATGATGTCATATAATTTCCGCAAAAATAATAATTAATCATTTTAGAAATATACTAGCACAAACAGAAATTGTCACAGCACAAAACAGCACAAATGAAATAGTAATGTTTCGTATAATTTTCTGTCTGTTTTGAGGCTGTTTAACATTTGAGGGGCTGGATGACGCCATGGGCCGAAAATAAACTTTTTGCACCTCAAACGACGCACAAACGAAGCATAAAGGACTGACACCATTTTGGGCCATTTTAGAGCATTTTCAAGCTTCCTGGGGGGCTGGCTGACCCCAGTTTGACCTATAAAGGAATCGTTAATATCTTAAAACTAAAGCAGCATTAACAAAACTTTTTGCAGCACAAAACGGCATGAATGAAGCACAAACGATTGACATAGTTTTTGTGTAGGTTTGCATTTGATGGGGGGGCAACTTCACAAAGGTAGAATGTTGTTATCCTCAAAAACATACCTGGAGTTGTGTTTTGTTTCATTCACACATGACTGAGTAACCCTCTATTATGTCTAGATGTCCGCCTACATCTAAAAAGCTCAAAATTCTCTGTTCCACGTTGTGATGTCATGTAGTGGTAGTTTAAACAAACATACCTTTTCGTTCAGTAGAGATATATCCAACGATTCTTGTGAAGGTGAATGGTAAGTAAAGCACTTCCTGTATGGCCACACATGGCATCACAAGGTAGAGCAGAGTGTTTTCAGTTTGAGAGAAGAACTCAGCTTAAATATGCAGGGTTTGTGTGTTAAACGTGTGAATGAAACAAAACTCCAGGTATGTTTCTGATGAGGAAACAACATTATAAGATCAGAAAATAGCGCAATAGACAGACAAAAAAAGTCTTACTCAAATGTGTGAATGGAACTTGAGATATGATAAGTTAACAGCAGTCTAACATGGTTCAGAGCTCACAAGAGTCAGTTTTGCATAATATAGGCCATTTAATGTATTTTTCTATTATATATTTTTTTATTTTTTTGTGTGTAAATCATTGTATTTCTTTACTGTTTTGACCCTCAAATACAGTACCAAGATTAATCCCACACTGACATATATCCGATATCTAAAAATAATTAATAAATACAAAAAATACTACAAAACTCGTACTGACCGGGCGCTGATCTCTGGTGATGACATATTTACAGAGCTACAGGATGCCTCAATAAAGGTACATGTATGGCGGGCACACCTGCTTGTAATTTCAATAGGGTCTTATGGCAGACTGCAGCCGACCTGAATGAAAACACGAAACCCAATCCCCCTGTAATGTAATCTACCTTTTCATATAATGTGCCTGCAGTTACCCGACCACCGGAGAGCATTTTGGGACCGGACCTACTGCCGGGGTTAAACGTGGGCTGCTGTGAAATCTGATGGATGGGTTTATGCTACGATCGTGTGCCGAGGGATTTGGTAAATATTTGGTAAATATGTCTCGTCCGGTGGAAAATTACACGTGAATGCACCCTCGTGTTGTCATTTCCACAAAGAAGATCATTTGGGACCAAGAGTTGCAGAGATGTGATAACCTTTGATCTTTCCAAATAGCAAACAGCAGAGCATTGGGCAGCATTTAAAGGGCCTGTACTGAAAATATGTCTTGCCCCAGTACAGATATACTGGATTGTAAGCAGTTCTTGAGGTCAAAATATGTCCTGTATGCATCGAATTACGGCGTTTTATTGTCAAAGAAGTGGAAAATGTGCAGTTAGCATGCTAGTTGTTGTTAGAACTACAGTGACGCCATTAATTATGTTTCTGTTTTCACTTACGTAAAAAGAAAGTGCACTATATAACAACATTTGACAGCTTGAAATGTCGATATGTTGTTGTAAACTTATCAAGTTGCATTCATTTACCAGCAGGTGTTTTTATTGCTCAAATCTAATCTTTTCACAGATCTGATTTAGCCTAACTATGTTATTTGGTTGGATAAATATAGTTAGAAAGTTGAAATGATATACTGTGGAACAATCATATTGTATGGGAGCAGTGTGTTTTTTTTATGGGTTAGAGGAGATTTTGTCTGGGTAGGTGGAGTTTTAGTATGGATGGAGTTTTTTCTTCTTTTTAACATATGTAATTTTCTAAATGTTACATGCATATATCACCTGGTGTTTAATAAAGGTGGGGGTAGATGTCTGCAGGGGTGTTTTGTATGCATTGGGGGAGTTTCTGTAGCCAGGCTGGCGCCACCTAGTGCCTCCGCTCAATTTCATTTCTCTCAGCGACTAGGTCAGGAATCAAAATACACTAGACGGTTTGCAAGAACCCCGGAAGTGCGAGTTCAGACACAGCGAAGAGCCATTCTGTGTTGGCAACAATTGCATAGATCGAGGAATTAAAGCCAGAACAAAGAGAATGTTCAGTGAATTTTATCAAGGGGAAAGACATTACTGCCCTTCTTCCTACAGAATTTGGGAAAAGCTGAATATACCAGTTAGCCCCGTTAGTGGCACATTACATATGTCACAACCAAATAACAGCAATTGGTTAAATAAAAAAAGTATCTGCCTTCCGTCAAGCAAACGAATTCTAATGCTGTGAGGTCAGACATTTTCCACGAAGTCAAATTGGCTGATGAATCAGGCAAGAGTTTCTGTTTGTGTGGTTGGATTTTTTGTATGTCTGGACAAAGTTTCTATACAGATGGATAAACTTTTTGTATAGAAGGGGTTTCTGTAACAGTGGGTGGAGTTTCTGTATGTGTGAGCAGAGTTTTGTATAGGCAGGTGGAGTTTCTGTCTTATGGGCAGAGTTTAGTCCAGGTGATCTGAAGGATACAGGGCTGCTCGGCCTGTCGCAGTGGTCTCGGGTCGCATGACAGACACGTGGCTTTGGCGTCTGTGATTAAGAACACCAGGTTTGTGTTGGGCAGCTTCTCCGCTCGGTACATCCTGCAAATAAACAAAGAGTGAGTAATGTTAGTTTTAGTTTCTGTGTATTTTGTGGTGGACCTGCTTGTCTTCATGGAGATGTCATGAGATGTCATTGTTTTACTGGAAATGTTCCACACTATAGCATTAAACTCATCTTATTTGTGCATATTGCTAAACGAAGGCCTTAAAAAAACGTCCACCTTGTGATGTCATGTGATAATACAAGAAGTGCTCCACTGGGCTTTTAAACTCCATATACCTTCACTAGAATCATTTTGGATAATTTCAGCCCAGCAAATGCCAAGCTCTACTGAACAAAAGGTAAAAGGAGCTGAACTTGAAATCTTCATGACATCACAAGGTGGAAGAGAGCATTTTGAGCTTTGGAGATGTAGACAGACTAAGAATTGAGGGTTACTCAAACATGTACAAATGAAACAAAACACAACTCCAGGTATGTTTTTGAGGGGGTAACAACATTCTAACAAGACCTAAAGCTCACAAGAGTCAATTCCATGTACTATAGGACCATTAAAGAGTGTTTTTTTTTTTTAAACTGACTTTTTAATTACAGTGTTTAAAACTTGTTACAAATTCACAAAGTTAATGTTGATCATTTTAGTGCTCAATTGACCTTTACTAGACGCATTTCAACTTTTATGAGAACAGCCACTTTAAAGTCCATGAGTCATGTGCTGGTAACCATGATGGACATTATTTTAAGCTATAAAACGTGAAATAATAAGATGTCCAAAACTTGTTTCAAAAAGTCTGCATAATGGAAAAAATACTCTCTTTAAACAGATGTGACCGTTCTCTAGGTTCAGATTTTTGACAAGTCCACCACCCTGACAGAAGCTACACCCCAGGGCGTATTTAACCCTGAGAGACTCAAAGTGGGGATGAAGTAACTAAACGTGCAATGGTCCATGAAGTGCTCTACTCCTACTTCATACGGAAACCTCGGGCCAAAACTTTACAGCGTCTCTTTGCAATTCTACTCTGACACATCAAGGTAATCTGTGTTTGATCGCAGCTCAACTGAAAGCAGCTGCCTACAATCAAACTGCTGAAGATGGGTAAGAAGTATGTGTGAAAGAAGGTGTGTTATGCTATTGGTACTTTGCAGCTGATGTCAACACTCACTCTAGGGCTGAAGTTAGCTAGAGGCACTGCTCTGTCTGAAGCTCTGTTAAGCAAGTTAGTTTTTAATCTGAGCTTTCAACAACAATCTCACCAGAAAAAACTGACACTGGCTAATGCCCGCCTGTGACTAATGTAATTTGAGAGGGATTTAGTTCCAATTGTTTTCACATAGTCACTCTCATTTGCTTTTTTGTTGAAACATATAAACAAGCCCATGAACACAAGTGTTGATCATAGGTTCCTGAAAATGTGTTAATTAGTGGTTTTTCAGATGGTTTAAACATATCAGGTGGTTGTGCAATGCATTGTGTCACTATGGTAACTACTGAACATTCCACCACATACATGAATTACCCTCTGTGGCCCATACATTATACATTATTATAATGTAAATGGCTGCGAAATTGGATTCCACCCATGTGCAGACTCTAGCTGTACACTGGATATTGACCACACCATTTAGGGATTACACTTACTGTATGGTTATGTTATATCTCTGGACATTTATCTATGGTAAAATGTGAAAGCTTAGACCATGTGCGGTTAAGGCTGTGCTCTATTAGCTCAATGATACAGATATTTAAGGCCAAGGAACCAAAAGTTGGCACAGATCTTACTGGACTCTTTTTGGTAAGTGCCAAAGAGGATCCAAGTTTTGGTGCCCAGCCCTAACTCTGGGTAAGTTTTAGTTGCTAAAATCCCAGAAATGTATAAGCTTGTTGAAGAGACATATACCATAGGCCATTATTCAGCCTCACATTTTACTATAGGTGATTTTATGTATTTTACCATCTTAGGGCGTGTGTGCGCGTGTGTGCGCGTGTGCGCGTGTGTGCGCGTGGGTGCGCGTGTGTGCGCGTGTGCGCGTGCGCGTGTGTGTCTGGGTTGTTTGGTTGTGTGGAGTCGGGCAGGTGTGGGGGTTGGGTTGGTGGGTGGAAATGTGGGATTGTTTTTAATCACTGTAAAGCACTTTGTGTTATGTTTTTGTATGAAAAGCGCTTTATAAATAAAGTTTGATTGATTGATTGATTGATAGGCCATTGTTTCCCAGAGAGTGGGTTACAAGATTGTTTTTTGGGGGGTCACCTTGTCACGATCTGCATGTAGGTCTGCAATATACAGTTCTGACACATGTTGAAATGTTAAGAAATGTTTTGTATAATTTCTAATCTTTTTGTAATGATTTTATTGACTATTTTGTTCCCAGAGTGCAGGTTCAATTGAATGGTGAAAAGAAAAAGAAATGGGCTATGTTTAATGTCTAAATAGGCAACTTATAGTTCACTTTCATTGCTGGTTCAGTTACTGTTTTCCATTGTTCAGAGAGTTACGATCACTCAGTCAACAATAAAATATCCTCATTAATGTTCAATAATGGTCAAATCCACCTTTATTTTGTGATTTAAGAATAATGTCTATTGACTTGGGTCACGAAGGTTTGTGACTTTTAAAATATGGGTCTCCAGAAAATAAAGTTTGGGAAACACTGCCACATACAGTATATTTTCAGTTTACCTGGAGCAGTTGCCACAGTCCAGTACTCCAGAGTACGACCTCTCCTCATTGTCAAAGAAGTACTGGGTCTGCTCAGTGATACAGCTCTCTTTGAACATGTTCTCAGAAATGTCCTCCTCCGCAGACTCCACTGGAAAGAGAATACACAAACAGAATGAATGCACTGACCTGTGATAGTACGTCATCTTTTATTTTCCACCATAACTCAGAGCCTGCGACCTATTGTTTTGCCTGGAATATTCCACAATATACTGTATTTATTCAATTGAATGCACTTTTGCTGCTTACAGGTGCAATATGTACATTTTCTGAAGGAGGGTCTACCATCTGCTTGTCCATGGAAAAGTATTTGCTTTGTCTGAAATGTCCCAGTATGGCATTAAATATCACCATCTTGTATTTATTCAATAATATGGCTTTTTACTGACTTCAAAACTTGCATTATTACTGGGAGTGGGCTTGCCTCTCCACAGATTCGACATCTAACATGGCCCTGTGGTGTTACCTTCTATTTCCGTAGAGATAAATAAGTGTAATGAAATACTGCGGAACATTCTAGGCAATAACTCCATGGTGAAAAGCTGGTGACGGACCCACCACAAAAGTTGCACAGTGCATTTTTAATGTGGAAATAAACACTAAATCATTTTTTTTGGCAACTATTGTATGTGGTGTTTTAATAGTATTGTCCCAGAGCTTTTTGTCAGTTTAAAATTTTTGTGCAAACTAGGTATATTTGCAGCTTTCTGGTTGGAGTGTGTGATGCCTCCTGTAGGCTCTGCAATTTCAAGTGCTACATAACATCACACATGACTGCTCTGATTACAGCCATGTGTTTCTGATTACAAATACCTGGCTGCAGGATTGGAGTTTGAAGTGTGGACACCTGTTACCCTACCAATCACACTGTTGTTCTCCCCTCTTCTTCCCTCTCACTCTCCCATTTAGTCCACAGGTACTGCCCAGTTTAACAGCTCTATTTGAAATGTGGTTGTGCTTCAGGCGGATCAGTGACATGGTTGTCAGTCACTGAAGAGATTGTATTGTTTTGCTGAGAATGTTCCACAGTATGGCACTAAACGTATTTATCTCTATGGAGACTCCAGGCAAAGCAATCACACAGTGCACCTTTAAAGGATAACATCTCAGCAGCATTTCATCAACAGAACCACATCTTATTGATTTTCTTACCTCCTCTGAACAGATTGGGAAATATGAGCCCAAAGACGATCTGCTGCAGTATCGACCTGGATGTGGAGAAAACAGTGAGTCACTATGTATGAGTCAGTCCTCCATCTTGAATCTTTCCCGCTTCCAGCCACAACAACATCTACGACAGCGTGTAGCTCCAGCTGTGCTCTGGAGCCAGGGCCACTGGTGCTGTGAATGCCCAGGGAGCCATCAGTCACGCTCCCATAAAAACCTTGTATGTGAGCGGCTGCTGGACAGACAGACCAGTGCACGATTCTGAGATCTGCGCCTGTCCTGCTCTGACCCACGCTAATGACTAAACGGAAGAGCTTACATGGAAAAGCATTGAAGGACCAGTGGAAAAGAAAGTGGAACGGTTTGAGTTACTGTAAAACACTGGCATGATGGTGTTTTCTTGTGTAATTAAGAAACCAGGAGGAAATTTGAAAGTGAGACTAAACAATAATGAACTTTTTTTGCTACTAAATGGTGTATATGGTATTTTAATTGCATTGCGTGCTATTCCTAGTCCCTTTTGGTAATTTCAGTGCAAACAACTAATTGACTAATATATTGGTTGGCCAGTATATTGGACCAATATTTGCACTTTTTAGTTTATCAGCTATTTAAATCTACAGCACAGGCTGATATATGGTTTTGGCTGACCTGAAGAGTACACATAAAGCTTTATTTGAACATGTTAAAAGAATTTATTTAGGAAGAAATTATTGCACAAAAAGCAACTACACAGCTCTCTTAAATGTTTGTGGCAAAAAAGGGCTGTGGGTGAATTTGCAGTAAATTTACATTACACTATATGGGAAAAAAATAAATAAAAAATCTGTTGATCATCGATCTCTAAAGGGTACAAGGTTTTTGATTTAAAAGGAAAAAAAAAACTAAACAAAACTAAACAAACAAACAAAACAAACAAACAAAAAAACAATTCAAAAACGAGATGCTTGTTGCCTCCAGTGGCCACTGAAATTTCAAGTACTATGTGACATCACGCAGGAGTATCCTGATTACAGCAAAGTGTTTCTGATTGCAAACAGCTGATTGCAGGGTCAGTGTTTGAAGTCTGAATACCTGTTAGACCAATCACACTGTTCTTTGTACCCCCAGACCCCGCTCCTCCCCCACAATCTTATTTTAGTCCTTCAGGTGCTTAGCACCTCTATTTAAAATAAGTTTGTAGGAGAAGTTCAGGTTTATAAGGAGAGGTGAGAAACCCTAAATCCAACTATCATTATCGATACTGAGACTGAAATATTTACAGTAGATCAGTGCATGTCTGTTTACAGCATTTCTATTTACCATTAATATTGGCACCATTGCTAAGATGTCTGAGCCATGACTGCAGAATACTGGAGTTTGTACATGTTAAAATAACCTTGTCCCTTGCCATTTATAAACAAACAGTACTCAATTGAAGGCTGTAATTCCTATCCTCTGTTTAACTTTGTAAACTGCAACCCTTCACCAACTTAACCATATCAACAGAACCATCAGCCACCTCCTCCTTCACTCTACCTCCACCCACATTAATACATAGTCTAATATGAGGCACATTAGCCAAGACCTTTATAATAATTAGTCCAATAATTAAAGGTCAATGAGTAGAATTCTGAATTGATTTTGAAGTCAGAAGGTCTGGGGGTCCCCACCCTCAGTAAATGATGAAATGACCTGTAATCTGCTGTGTATTAGATCAACAAATGAAACTTTTACAGTAGTGAGTTTCTGACATTTAGTCATACATTATGACTGTAGGCTACTTCTCTCCATGGTGTAATTCTCTGGCTTGAAGGTTATGAGACGTAGGACATATTTTTGGAATCCAACCTATTTCTAGAGGCTTTGACTTTGTACTATATGCTGTTCATAATCAGGCACATTCACATGTATGTCATTGTACATGGCACATGGAGAAGAGGCTGGGACCCCTGCCATTACTGCCATTACTATGCACCTTTATTTGTCCATATTGCCTATATTTATGTCAATTGTACACACTGTAGATAGGAAACCCCATCATGTGTTCATGACTATTTGACTTACCAGGCAGCCGTTGAGGCCCACCAGCCAATACTGAGCAGGTCTGCTATAGTAGGCTGCAGAGGGAGAAGGGGGAGAGGGTAAGAGAGAACAGATTCTGTTAGATAGTTGTGCAGACTCCAGATATCCCACAGTGCATTGGGGTGCATGACTGGTCCTCTCACCACATGGACAGAGCGCAGTCCGGCTGCTGCTTTGCTCTCCTCCTCGGGGTCACACACAGACTGGTAGTCATAGGTCTTATTGAAGGAGTACAGAGACTGGTTGACCAGGTTGATCATCAGCACAGGGTCTACTTCACCAAAGAACTGCCCGATCTGGAACAACATGAGCGTTATATTGGGCTGCAGGGCAAATTTTATTAAGATACTTGTGATATGTTATTCTGTTATTTGCACAACAGCAGAAACATGAATACATGGAGTGAGTTTTTGAAGTAGCAGGACAATTTAATTGCCCTTTTCAATCATGAGTATGGCTTTTACTAGTTCTTCTCTGATTACATGTCACAATAACAGTATGATTTGACGTAAGATATATTGCTGAAGTAAATATAAATGATAAACAATGATACTCAAACTAATTTATGCCATTGACACAGCAACACTAAAGCAGATTTAAATCACAAAAACGATTCTAAATGTACTAAATGTATTCTAAATTTTGTCAAAAAAAACATGGACTGGAAGAGATGAATAGCAAAATGAAATATTTTAGTAGTTAGTTTACATCTGTAATGAGTCACAGAAGTTAATAAGCAGAACTACCAACCACCTCATCTGTTTTAAGTCAACTCCTCCTTCCCCACCACCAGAGTCTACTGCCCAGAGTCATCCAATTTGACTTGAATCCTTAAAAATAAGGGATTTTCCAAAATGGACAGTTGCCATGCCATTTGGGTATCATTATAGGCATATGCTGTCAACAGATTTTACAGACCTGAACTGACCTAGGCCTATATAGTTCAAAGAACTGAAGGACTGAAGTTAATGTCACATAGCTCCCTAAGAGATGACTCACAAATGGACAAATGAAACTGAATCTCCTCATACAATAATCTATACAAATGTTCCATAAAATATAATTGAAATGGTTTAAAGCAGATGTTGGGCCCTTGCTCCAGTCTGCACGTGCCTGATGACACACTAGCCTTGTACTGGCACAGCACACTTGTGGTTGTATACACAGAGGAGAAGGGATTCAAGCAAGCTGGATGAAGTGCTCGGTCAATGCCGCAACAGCACGCACACTGTTGTAGGATAAACTCGAGCTGTAGAGGCTGGAGTTCTAATGCAGGACAAGTAACTCAGTCGGTGTGAGTAGTGTGAGTGTTTGTGCGATTATAGCTCCCACAGATGAATGCTGTAGTTGTGTCCTTGGGCAAGACATTGGTGTGTGAATGTGTGAGTGGCTCCTTGATATAAAGAGTTTGAGTGTCTTAAAGGTTGTATAGAGGATATTTTAAGGGAGGTGAAATACAGCGACAGTTCTTTTTCAAATGTTGTGCATGTGTGACACCACCTTCCTCAGTAGAAACACCTCCTCCTCCCGCCTCTTTACTCTAGAAATCACGCTTGTTTACATCCAGTGCGTGTTCAGAATTACTGTTGAAGTGACCTGCCTAGAAATATTTCAGCGACCGACGTGTCAGTTTTTAGACCCTTCGGACTTTCTTTTGCGGCGAACTTGTCGTGGATTCTCGTCCGCCATCGCAACAAACTTTGTGCGAATTGCAAGGGAGCTACAGCTTGAAAAAGCCTCTAAGAACCGCTGCATAAACCACGTAATCCCTGAGCGCACAAAAAAGCCTTATACAAAAATTGTAGGGAGTTTTTTTGACAGCCAATAGATAAAGAGGGAGCCTCGTTTTCTATTGGCTGATGTTTATCTGGCCTCACTACGTCCACAGTTGATAGATTTTCATTCTTTTTTTTTTTTGGTCATCATAATTACAAGGCTGCTGCGTCTCTGTAATGGTATTTTAAACTTTCAATGACAATTTGAAACTAAAAAAAAAAAATCCTCCATACAACCTTTAAAGGTGGAAAAGTGCTATATAAAAATGTGACCATTTACCATTGGCGTGGGATCAGCACCCAGAGAAATGAACCCTGACGACATTGTGATAGTCTTGTCCATACTAGTCTAGTGCAGTACAGTACAGTCTGGCTATGCTTCCGTTGTAGGGAGTATTATACCTCTGATGACATAAGCCGAGATAACTAAACTGGCAGTGTGCCCTCAGTACAGCACAGAAATGGAGTTTGTTTTGGAGCTGGTCCACTGCGACAGAGTTCCATGTTTATTTAAGACAGTTCAAACAAACGACATTCAATTAGTTTCTTGCTATTTCAGAAACCTCATATTAAAATCAGCTCAGCCCAGTCAAGGTGAACCTGAAATAGGGATGATCTTGTATGGATTTGTTTGAGCAGGTAACGTTATCTGATATTTTTCCTGCTGCTGCTGTGGATAACTGATATTTGGAGATACTGATATTTAACTTTTAATACCCATGGCAAGAACGAAAAATGTATATTATGTGGAAGTAAAGATAAAAAATTGATTTTGAAAAACTTAATTATTAACTAATTAATTTGTTTCTCATTAGTCTGTTCAAAAAGGCAAGTCTCAGGACAAACTGGGAATAACACAGGGACTAGGGCAGTGATAAAATATCTGCCGAACAATAGTAGATTTTTTCTGCAATAACATTTAGATATATTGATACAGATCTATTGGAACTCATATATTCCCCATCCCTACTTTAAAACTCACCAGTGAAATATACTCATCCTGGTTGGACATGAGCAAAAATCCACCGTCGTCCAGGATCACACAGTCGATATGCTACAAGAGAAAGCAATGTTACCAAAGAATTTATGTAATCTTACCAGAAATATATTCGTTTTTAATGGCCAGTACCTTGTCATTCCGCAGACAGCCACAGATTTCATCCTTGCACTAAAGAAAAGATGTGTGTGTTGAACAGCAGTGAATTTGGGATCAGCCATAACATTATGTAAATTATCCACTCTTGATTTGTGTGCCCGGACGGAGGCAGGCATTTTGGGTTTGCTCATTCAGCTTTTTTATTTAACCCAGTTTTGTTTTATAAATAAATAAATAAATAAATAAATAAATAACATGAACTGTGATCCAAGACTGGTTCATGTTATGTGGGAAGCTCTACAAAAGCAAAATAAAAACATTTAAATTTTAATTTTAATTAAAATATAAACAATATAACTTCCAGGTTTTTGGTGACAAATTTGATTTGATATTAATGCAGATTGCAGCCCTGTCTGAAACTATACACAGTTTTTTTCCTATGTTTTATTTTGAATTTATGTAACCTATTGTCTGCCCTACTGTATCTGTCTTTTGTTGTGATTCTGAGGACCCCCTCGAAAACGAGATGGTGAATTATCTCAAGGGGCTTATCCTCCAAACAAATAAATTCAAAACTAAAATGATGTCTGTTATCATGAAATTATTATCTGAACATAATATCCAGCATATCCACAATAAGAAAACCTACCAAAGAACAGAGGACAATACAAAACATGATTATATATATTGTTAAAAATATTTCATCTTAGTTCCTCCTGTTTAGCTTGTAGCATGCTCTAAACCACATGCTGTGCTCTGCTTGAGTCCCATGACCTGGTTACTTGTAGGCGATTCTCTGATCACTTACAAAGTACTGACCAGAAAGTAGTTGCCTAAGCAAAGACTTTCAGACCTCTCATGTTATGAATGATTTTGTAGTCAACTGTGAAATAACCAGGTCATAATGCTATACACCACCAGTCAAAGGTTTGGACACACTTTCTCATTCAATGTTTTTTTTTTTCTATGTGCACTGTTTCCTGTAGATACACACCGAAGACATCAGATTTATATTGCAAATATATGGAAAAATGTAGCAAAGAAAAGAAAGTTCCATAAAACTTTTTATATATAGTTTAGTTTCAAATTCTTTTAAGTTACCACACTTATGGAATATCTTTTTTTTTATATCAGATTTTGAATTGTAAATGCAGCTGTATTTCTCACTATACTGGCTGGGGTCTATAAATTGATGAAATAAAAACTTTTACTGGTTGTAATTTGCCCAGAAAGTCTCATAATGTTCAAACTTTTATTCACACTAAGCTTTTCTGTAAGAATAGAAATAATAGCTACATAACACATTTGGAGCTGTTTTGTTTTATTTTAGCTTTGTTTTAAGGAAATAAATACTGTTTTCAGTCTCTGCACTGGTATCGGTTGATATCGGGTATCAGTAAATATTTAAAGCTATAGTATTGAAATCGGTATTAGAAAACTGGATTGGTAACCAGGCTGGCGCCACTTAATGACTCCTCTCAATTTCATTTCTCTCCAGCGACTATGTGTATGTGTATGAATTGGAATACACTAGACGGTTTGCAAGAACCTTGGAAGTGCAAGTTCGGGCACCAGCCAATCAGCGAAGAGCCATATATATTCAGTGTTGTCAGTGATTCCCGAGATCGACCATTTAAAGCTAGAATAAAGAGAATGTTTAGTGAATTTCATCAAGGGTAAAGACATTATTGTCTTTCTTCCTACAGGATGTGGGAAAAGCTTAATATATTGTTAGCGGCACATTACATACATGACTACCAAACAGCAGCGATTGGTTAAATGAAAATTAGTACCCGTCTACTGTCGAGCAAATGAATCCTAACACTGCGAGGTCAAACGGTTTCTACGAAGTGAAACTGGCTGAGGAGTCAGACTACTGGATTGGTGCATCCCTAATGAAAATAATTCAAAGATGTTTTTTTTCTGTTAAATTTCAAAATGTCATGGATTTTGGATTTCTATGATGAGCCTTTGATAAAGATACCTTAAATATTTTTCACTTCACTGGTGAGTGTTTTTTGTTTACTACCTGGGATGGAACAATATCCAAGCCTCAAAATACGATATTGTCACAGTATGAACCTAAGGGTACGATATTTATTGCGATATCATGGGAAAGCTTACAATATGGTGGGGAGGCTCACGATTAGGGATGTAACAATATCCAAATCTCTCGGTACAATATTTTCACGATATACATCTCACAGTATGATATTTATTGTGATATTTTGTTGCGACTAACAAAACTGTTAATATGCTACTTTTTCCTCTTAAAATGCCTTGACAAGACTTAATCTAAAGAACTAAGACTTAAAAGTGCTTAGTCTACACTGAAATAGAGCAAAGGATCATGGTCTATGTAGTTCCCTCTGTCTTTTTTTAGCTATTGCTGCACCATAACTTTTAATTGAAGCAAAGAGACTTGTAATTCGATATATTGTGACGTTCCACGATATTATTTTGAGAACTTTGACAATACGATATCATAGTATTTCAGTTATTGTTACATCTCTATTTACTACCTTCCATATATGTCCATTCATAGTTTTGATGCCTTCAGTGAGAATCTATAGTGTAAATAATCACGAGAATAAAGCAAAAACAAAAATGAAAGAGTGTGTTCAAACTTTTGACTGATGGCGTATAAGTGTACAGTACATGCAGAACGGTCACTTACATTCACTTTGAGAGTAGCGTTAATGAAAGAATTCATCCAGTATGTGACATTGAGTTTGACTCCCACCACTACGGATGACAAACAGAGCGCGTCAGCTGACACAATGAAAAATGTAGGATTTTTCATTACTCCAGATGCCCCGGAGAGCCAGCCCCAGATCCTCACCTGCCGGCTTCAGGGTGACCTCGTCCACGGTCAGGGCCACGGCTTTGCTCACCAGGATCCCAGTGTCGGTCACCTGCTCCCGGATCTCAGCTAGAGAGAGAGAGAGAGGGGAAGAGGGAGAGGAAGGGGAAAGGGGGAGACATGGGAAGGATAGAGAAAGAGAGAGGGAGTGGAAGGTGAAAAACGAAAGCCAGAGATATGGAGAGAAAAGGGGAGAAACAGATATCAGTGAGGGGGATACACAGAAAAAGAGGTAGATAGAGAGCAAGGAAGACAGAGATAGAGAGAGAGAATTAAGAGAGGGTGAGAGGAAGATGAGAAAGGGGAAAGATGGGGAAGAGAGAGGAAGAGGAGAGAGAAATGAGAAAGAGAGAAGATGCGGAAGAATTTGACAGAATGGAGGAAGAAAGGGTGAAAGCGAGAAGCGGAAAAGAGGAAGAGGATGATGAGAATTGGGGAAGGTGAAGGTGTGTGAGAGAGAGATGTGAGGAAAGAGGGAAAGAAGGCGGAATGGTGACATGAGAGAAAAAGTGGAGAGCGACAGAAGTGGAGAAAGAGAGGACGGTACATAGATTAAAAGATGGGGAAATAGGTAGGGAAAGAGAGAAAGATGGGAGGAAAAGAGGGTGAGGTGTAGAGAGGTGTGGAATAGATTAGGAGGTAAATAAAGAGAGGTCGAGGTGAAAGATAGAGGTGGTTGGAAAGAAGAGAGAGGGAAGAGAGGGAGGGCAAGGTGGAGAGATGGAAATAGAAGCGAAGAAAGAAAAAGGATGATGAAGAGAGATCGGGAGGTGGTTGGGGGAGTGAGGGCAACAGAGAGATGAAGAGAGGGAGTAGAGTGATGAGAGAGGTTTGGGAAAGAAAGAGAGAAAGGGAGTGGGTGAAAAAAGGGATAAGATGAGAAACATCGAGATGGAGAGGAGAGAAAGAGGGAAAGAGTGAGAAGTTAATCACAGTAATTCATCCAAAAGTGGGAGGGTCACTGTTCACATATAGTTGATGGATACAGTCCAATCTTATTGAGGGGAATTCCACAAACATTAATATGATGGATGGAGAGATGGAGGGAGGGATAGAACGAGGGAGGGCCTGTTTATGGGGTTAAGGAGACATACAGTATTAACCTAAATCCACTTTTATGACCTTGTAATAATGTTATGTTCCTCATTAAAAACTTACCTGGACTTATCATTTTAGCAATCTTGCAAAATGGACTTTTCAGAACTTTGAACCATGCTGTAGCTCTTTTCCCTTCACAATTTACAATCCAGAGTGATCTGTGCATGTCTGAGCAAATTTTAATCTTATTTTCAAGACGCCATACTGCCAATCAACTCCTGTTTTCACTGTCCTTGGTATACGCCCATTGCTCTTTACTTACTGTGTTCTCTGATTTTATTTTCTTAATCAGTGACATGTGTAGGATTCAACACCGTTGCGTAGTCATTTTGGCAGAAATGGAAAAAAAAATAAAAATCTGTGGCTCGCTAGCGTGATCCCTAGCTATCCATCGGAGGTGCCAACTGTTGCAATGATGTTTAAGGCGACACCAGCTCCCATTGCACACCGCAGTTTCCTAACGGAAGTCTGCTGACTGTTTCTTTTATTAAAGCCCCTCACACACCACAGTATCATTTGTCCAATTTAGGGGGGGGCTTCAAGGAGGTATGTCCTGACTTTGTGGTCTTCGTATCCTCAAGTATTGCACCACATTTCATACTTATAATAATAATAATAATAAAAACAACATAGTTTCGACATGCATCTAAACTACTTTTAGCTTGTGGTCTGCTGCCATATCCGGCAGCAGTCTTTGTCATCGGAGATTTAAATCTTTGTATTCTGTAGTGTGCACTTTTTGTTGCATGTTTAAAGATTGTTTAAGACTGAAAAATCCTAGTGTGTAGTGTGTAGTCGTTTTGGATGAATATTGAATATTGCAATGTAAACTATTCAGATGATAACATAATGATCCATAGGTGTCATAGATTAGAACTATGAAGCAGACACAAGCACAATGTGTCTTCTTTAAAGTCACAACAATGAAGTTACCCAAGAACCTCTGGACCTGGGCCACTGGAACTGGCAATGGGCCCTCTTCTCCTGACAGGTTGCCCCATTGGCATTTAAGGATATGTCAAATGCAGAGGACTGTGTATTTCCTGTTCCAAGACAAATGCTTAATCCACTCTATCACTGCTGTCTTATATTATTTTAAAGCAAGGCACAGCAGTTGAACATAAAAAAACATAGAGGTGTCACTTTGAAAATTGTTCTGTAGTTTACTTATGTAACTATAGCAACAAATGTATTCAACCTTTTTTTTTATTAGTTTAAGTTTTCATATATAAGGACAGAGCAAAATTACTTCATTTTGTAGATATATTAGATTAAAAATTAAAATTTCCAAGAGGGAGAAATGCAGTTTGTGAAAACAGCCTTTGAAGTTACAATGTCCTACAAATCTATGGGTGCAAACTGATTAAATAATCATGAAATACCTAAAGGGTGTAAGCAAGAGAGGAAACTGAACCAAAAACTTCACTCTAGTGTCTACCATTAAGTTAAAAAACACACCAAATTCTTCAAAAGTATAAAAAAAAAGAAATTTATGAATGTTTCTTTCAAGTCAAAATTTAGATACTACAACGCAATAGCCTGTGCTGTCTGCTATACGCATCAGTGGAGACAACAGGAAATGTCCAGAGGGAGAGAGGGGGGAGCGTTTGTGTGTGTGTGTGTGTGTGTGTGTGTGTGTGTGTGCATGTGTGTGTGTGCGTGCGTGCGTGTGCGTGTGCGTGTGTGTGTGTGGAGGGGGTTAAAGTCAGTAATATCAGCTCCTGAACAGCATCCAAAAGTAGAGAGGATCTCGGGCACATCGCCAGACTTCACTATACGCTTACATGCACAAAAGGAGCTAGGATTAGACCGGCTTCGTCCAATTACAACCAGGGCTTTTAAACAGGAATACATGCAGTCCTATGTAGTCAGCTCTCCTCACATTGTCTATTGTCCCTAATCCTGATGATCTCATTAATTTGTGGCGTTTTTGCTGAGGTATGTAGATATCTTACTCATCAACTGTTCAAGGCTAACAGAGATTTAGAGATTAGCGAAGGCGCATGTTTTTAGGCCAGCTAGTCCTATGCTAATATTCCCAGTCCACGAGTCATTAGGAAGAATTGATGCATACAGTATATAAAACTATTTACTGGTCAATCTATGTTCCTCCCCTCACCTATGGTCATGAGCTTTGGGTAATGACCGAAAGGAGAAGATCGCGGATACAAGTGGCCGAAATGAGTTTCCTCCGCAGAGTGGCTGAGCGCTCCCTTAGAGATAGGGTGAGGAGCTCAGTCACACGGGAGGAGCTCGGGCTAGAGCCACTACTCCTTCACGTCGACAGGAGCCAGCTGAGGTGGCTAGGAAGGAGGCCCCGCGGAAGACCCAGGACATGCTTGAGGGAATGCCTTGGAGTCCCCTCGGAGGAGCTGGAAGAAGTGTCTGGGATGAAGGAAGTCTCGGAGTCCCTGCTTAGATTGCTGCCCCCACGACCCAGCCCCAGATAAGGTGAAGAAAATGGGTGGATGGATGGGATATATAAAACTTTGGGGTATTTAAATTGATCAGAAAAAAAGGCAAGGTTTGTTTGGTTCTATTTGAATGATTTAAACTTCATGACTGCTGCTCTATTAATTTCACCGAGAGAGAGAGGAGTATGAGGAGTAACTCTCCCAAATGCTTTTTGCGAAACACTGTTAATTTGATGGACGTTAATTGACAGCTTAGGAATGTGAAATTGCAGAAAATAAAGTCACAAGCTCAAATTAAATCAATAGTTACATTCACAAGAGTGATTTAGCTGCTACGTAGTTATATTAGTCAGAGCACATCGTGTTTTTGCTATTTTGTCAATTTCACATAATTTAAACTGTCAGTATCACTCTCTCTGCATAATTAATACTGCTAATCAACAACTCGCAAGTTTACAGTTTTTGTTTGTTGTGAGACTGTGGTTGAATCATTCAAGAAAAAACAAATATCAGAGTAAAAATAAATTCATAGCTTGTATGGTTTGATTAGCTGCTAGCCTGTTTAGCTGCAGAAATCCAATTCTACTGTCAATCTGGAGCTTTGTAAATCCGGTAAAAGGCTCAGGCTTTCTTCTGTCTTCAATAATGTGTACATCCTGCTGTGCAACAATAATCCATGATCTCTGAAACTCTGATAAAGTCAGTCAGTTTGTTTCTATGGGAATTCTCTCCCTCTACCACTGCCAGGGCTTTACAGTAAAGTAAACAGGCAAACAAACATCAGCAGACACTGTAGATTTAGGGCACTATCTATGCGATCAACACTGACACGTGTACCAGGTAAGACCCGCTAATGTTTAATAGGATTTGTTTTTAAGTTATATTATTGTCAACAATTTCATTTACCAACAAAAAAAACCTCCAAACTACCAATGTGACATCCCTCTCAATGTAGTCTCATGGGTATAGGAGTTAAGATTACTTAAACATGCATGAATCAATCAAAATACAACTCTGAACTAATAATGTTATAACAATATTAACCCCATAAAAGTTGATTGTTAAACTGCACCTTGTGACTAAATACACTGATCCTTCACATACCATTATAAATGGGAGCAGTGAATATGTAGATTTCATTGTCCAGGGCCCTTTTGTACGAGCTGCATTCATACGGTTCAGGATTCTCTGTCCAGTCTGGCCCAGAGCTGCAAAATATCAGAGACAGGTGTGAAATACGCTGATAATACTACAAACAGATGCTATTATAATCCAAACAGTATGTGTGGGTGACCAGTGAGACCACAAGATTGAAACTTATGAAAGCTGGAAGAGGTTTGGATGAAGTTATGGTATTTTACATATTTTGCTCTCTGCTCCGGCAGCCAGGTGTTTCAGAATCACTTGGCTGTAATCAGTCATAGGTGATGTCACGTTGTACTTGAAACTACAATGGCCTCTGGAGGCATCTCACAGTTTTTGAACACAAAGTTGCAACTTTATCTAGTTTATCTAATATCCTAAAAGGACTGGGAACAATAGACGATATTACTAAAACACTATATACAGAGTTAAGTAGTAGTCCTTAATTTACTTAAAGGTGCACTCTGTCATTTTTCCTGGTCGAGGGTCGGTCTCCTACTTATGCAAGCTACATGGCACTTTATAACAAAAATGGAATTTACAGTCCAAAAATGGAATTTACGGCCAATTTACAGTCCAGTGTCAAATCGTTTGATGCAGAGAGTCTGCGTCGACCGACGTGCACCTCCGAAATTTTCTAACTACGCGTCAAAAAGATGCAGACAGCAGGGGAAGCGACTCAGATCATGGGGGCTGTGATTGGTCCCCACTACTGCCGCACTACATACATTTCCAGCACTCCGCTTTCCTTTCTTTCAATATACATTGAGAAATAATGTGTTTAATGCAGCTCTGCGCATATGTGTTTACGTTTTACAGAAACAAAACTTAAAACCGCATGGCTAACTTGCATAAACTAAGTGCTCAAAAAACAGATAGCTCCTTGTGTCCTGACGCGGTTCAGCTTCTGTCGGACTTAAAAAGGACACGACTCAGTGAAATATGTGTGTTCTTTCTGTGACAGAGGGATATTGTACTAATGAGTCTGTTCTGTGCTTTTATTGCGTTAGAGACGGTTCATGTTAAACTTTTCAGAGATTATACGTCTGCAGGTCACACGTAGACTGTATATATGACTGGGCATATATCCTAGCCCCCTAGCGTTTTGGTGGTGAATTACTTTGCGGTGCATAGACCTCGACGCAGATCCATAAATCAACAGCGACAAGGCGATGGTGGCAGTGCGCGTTGAGTCGACGCAGAAGTATACTTCACCCTTTAGCCAGGCTGATGCCACCTAGTCCCTCCACTCAATTTCATTTCTCTCCAGCGACTAGGTCAGGGATCAAAATATACTAGCTGGTTTGCAAGAACCCGGCTATACATTCTGTGTTGGCAATGATTCCTGAGATAGAGGATTTAAAGCTGGAACAAACACTTATAAACTCATTGCTTTGAATAATTACGGTGCTAGGAATTCGTTATGAAAGTGTTTCAAATGAACTAGTTCTGTTTTTCATGTTAAAAGTAAACATCAGGTATAGCACTTTTAATAACTTTTACAACACTACGCAATCCAGCCAATGTACCTCCGCTAAAAGCAACACATCAGCGTGATTGAAACCTAGCTAGCATCCTTAGCCCTGATCCGTGTCCTCTGTGGTCTCTGGCAGGCTCCACAGCTCTGCGCTAAAAGGCTAATCCAACATGCTCTTGGACAGGCTCAGAGGAGCAAGGGAAAGGGCCAGCCAAAAGTCCATAGTCAGGATCTGTTTACATCCTACACTTAAGACATGCAGAGAGATGGGCCATTTGTAACTGAGAGGGAAGGAGGGATGAGAGGAGAGACAGAGTGTACCTTTTCGGAAAGACTCTTGTGATCCCTCCATCTGTTGCTACAAATCTGGCCACCACACCGTCTCTGGAACACAAAGAAGCACAGACATAAAGATACTAAATCTATTATCGAAACTAGATACTCTTTAGTATATCGATACTAAAAAGTTGCATTCCCACGACAGAAATGAACCTTTGCTGAATACTTTTAGAATAACCTTGAGTATCAGAAGTACAGTACAAGACCACATAGACTAGTATATGCACATGGACCACTATGGAACCTACCTGGACTACTAAGGAATTACACAGACATAAGACTACATGGTAATATAAAAGAAAGTACTGCAAGTTAAAGTTGATCACATTCTATAGTCTAAATAAAGAGTGTTTTTATTATCATTGTGCTATCGGAATCAGTATCAAGTATAAAGTCCATTTCTTAGTATATCAAGTTTTACATTTTAGTCTCGTGACAACAAAATTAGTCAGTGTGCTAAAATGATCATCAATTTTATATCTCAACTCTCCAAACATATATCTCTGTCCTCAGCCAATCAGAAGCCTTGATACATCCAAAATCACCAATCAAAGTCAATTTGTCCTTTCTGACCCGAGTCAAAATCCAACTGAACACACCAGACAGCTCGGTTGGTGAACTGTTTGTCCTCTGAGCACAAGGTTGACAGTTTAAATCCTGTTCTCAAACAAAAGCAGGTAATGTGGTTTGATCCACTGGTCCACACTTTGGTAGTTTGGTTATAGCTGCCACAGAGGAATGCTGTTGTTGTGTCCTTGGTCAAGACACTTAGCCTGCCTCAAAAAACTTACTGTGTTCTCAGGAAAGCCACATCACCCACATTGCCTAGTATGAATGTGGTGTGTGAGCATTGGTGGTGGTTGGGGAAGAGGCAGAGGGAGCAGATTGGCAGGCTTAGTCCCATCATTCTGTCCCAGGGCAGCTGCAGCTACAATAGTAAATTACTATCACCATAAATAGCGAAATTGTAAAACGTCTTTGAGCATCTGGAAAAGACCTATATAAGACTGAAATGACCTGAAGTTTGATTTTTAGCTGTTGCGCATAGAGGACTTCTCTGTAAGTCCTTTACTTCGTTTATCATTTTTGATTAAAGGTGCACTGTGCAACTTTTCTGGTGGAGGGTCTGCCACCTGCTTCTCTCCATGGAGATATTGTCTGGAATATTCCACAGTATGGCATTGCACTTAATTCATCTCTAGGGAGACAGCAGGTGACACCACAGGGCCAGGTTACATGTCAGAATACATGTTAAACCCATGTTTGTGAGTTAATGCAAGATGGATATGTTTAATGCCATACCAGGACATTCCAGACAAAACAATGACATCTCCATGGAGACAAGCAGCTGGCGCAACCTCCACAAGAAAAGTTACACAGTGCACATTTAAAGGTCCTATATTATGCAAAATTGACTCCAGTGAGTTTTAACCCATGTTAGAACATTGTTACCTCCTCAAAAACATACCCAGAGTTATGTTTTGTTTCATTCACACATGCTTGATTAACCCTGCATTATTAGACTATCCACATCACTAAAGATCAAAATGCTCTGTTCCACCTTGTCATCTAGTGGTAGTAACAGCTACACTTTACTTTTGTTCAGTAAAGATGGACAATTTCAGGGCTGAAATAATCCAAATGTTTCCAGTGAAGTGGTATGGCATTCAAAAACACACTGGAGCACTTCCCGTTTTACCACATGACATCAAAAGGTGGAAAAAAACGGTTTCCAGTTTGAGAGAAAAACTGCCTAAATATTCAGGGTCTGTGCGTTAAACATGTGAATGAAACAAAATACCAGTCCAGGTATGTTTTAGTGTAATGTAAATAAAAAGCCATATAGCATCCTCCTTGTGCAGGCAGAGGTAGTAGGATTTGGGCTCCCTGCTCTCTGTTGTGAGAGGACTAAACCTGTTGTTCTCATTAGTGGTGCTTTGTAATGCTCCTAAGTCAGCCAAATCCTATTATACAGAGGAGGGAGTGCTAAGGGCCGCACACCTAGCATGTGTGAGAGCCCAGCCTGCTCTGAGAGTGGGTGGGAGAACGCAGTGGTTTGGGGCAGACCATTTCAATTAAGGTAGTTCTGTATTTCCTCTTTAGAATAGGTTAACACTTAGCTAAGGATATAACTAAACAATACAGAACATAGATCAAATGAATAGAACAAAGTATAAGATCATATTGGAACATTAAACTAATTAGTCACACAGTAAAACCACCTTATGTTTAAAGGAGGTATTATGCAGAATCATTGTTTTGATTTCTATGTTATAATATCATTCCCTCATTAAAATCTTGCCTGAAGAGGTTTTAGATGTCATCAATGCACATTTGAGTATTTTTGCATCTCTCCCAGGCTCTATTGGAACCATACGGTTACCCATGCTCCCACACGACAATTCTCCAGAAATATACAAAAGCATGATACAAAACTGTACAGAGCAACTTGACAAATCTGATGCAGAAGCTTCATTAGCGGAATGCACACCGATTGTGATAGTGCTCTGAAGGGGGAGTGACTTAGCAAGGGAAGCAAAATGAGGGGGACTCAGCTTCAAAAATGAAGATGACACTTATAAAACATGTTAATGTGCTGTTTTTGGGGGAATATAGCATTTTCAAAACAATAACATGTAACGTTGTTTCCTTTTTCTTTTCTTTTTTTTAAATAGGCATCATTTTGAGGACTTTTTAACCATTCAAAAGATGTTTTGTCAGTTGTCAAACACTATGACAATTCTACTATTTTTTGTCATCATTCTTAAACTCATGAACAGAAATAAGTTTGAATTTGTATCAGTATATATATTAGAGATAAACCAATATATCGGGCCCGTATTTGCACTTTCTATCACCATTAAATCTCCAGCAGAGGCTGATCTTTTGTTTTGGCTGACTTGCATTTGTGCAGTTATCTTTTCGGAATAAAGTGAGATAAATATACAAAATGTGACTACACAACTTTCTCATAGGTTTACAGTAAAAAAGTGAGTTTGAAGTGAATTTAAATAACATAATTCAGGGGAAATTATGAAAATGAGCCCAAATATTATCCAAAAAATATCGGCACAGCTAATTGGCCATAGATTCCTCTGGATTGTAAACAATCAGTATAAACATTGGTCATAAAAAACCCTCTAATACAGTCTAATCTCTAATATATATGCAAAGAAAGTCTTATTTTCTTCTTTCCCTTTGGAGAGAATTCTTGGTTTTGGTTTCCTCTGTAGCTGTGTAACGCGCAAATCCTTCTCCATTGCCCTAAATTGCAAGTAGTTGTTCCCAGGCTCATCAAGTCATTTCTGTTGTCGGTATTTACAGCTTCTACAAACAAAATCGTATAAAACGCTTCTTGTTGCCAGATCTTAGCGGAAAACTCAAATTTGCCAGACACTTTTAAAACCATTTGTTCCCCCCGTACATTACAGTTGCCTCTCTATGTGACGCAACAACTAAATCCTTTCTTTGGTAGCATTCTCCGTTTTGTTTGTGATATGCGCTAATGCTAACCAGATCTGTGGCGTTGCATGTGAAGATGTGTTTAGATTTCTGGGGAATAGCAGGCACTGCGCTAAAGAGACACACGGTTGTAATTATTGTTGTGTTTTTTCATTGGGGCTGTTGGCAGGGTTGAGAGCTGGGTGTGAACAAATTTCATCAGACTGGACTGTTTACAGTCCATCAAATAAGCAACAGTGCGGACGGAGGTCTGAAGATGCTATATAAACAGATAATTATGTAAATATGGAATTAAAGAGGCACTGTGTAACTTTTGTGGTGGGGGCTCTGCCATCTGCTTGTCTCCAAAAAGATCGAATTGCTTTGGCATAAGCAACTATAAATAAATAGTATAGTAATATTAAAGGGCATGTGTTACAGTGTTTCCTGATGTATGTTATAATGTTATTTCCTCATCACAAACACCCAACTTGTGTTTTGTTTCATTCACACATGTTTAACACACAAACCCTGCATTTTTAGGTTCTTCTCTCAAACAGAAAAACCTCTGTTCCACCTTGTGATGTCATGAGGTAATACAGGAAGTGCTCCACTGTATTTTTAAACTCCATACACCTTCACTAGACCAGTAGTCTAATGAAGGTTCAGAAAAGGAATTTCCAGTCTCTACTGAACTAAAAGTAAAAAGTAGCTGTTAACTTGAAAACTACCGCTTCATTAATCAATCAGTCTAAATTTATTTATAGAGCGTTTTTCATACAAAAAATGCAACACAAAGTGCAGACTCATGACATCATAAGGTGGAAGAGGGCATTTTGAGCTTTGGAGATGCAGACAGACCAATAATAAAGATTTACTCAAACATGTGTGAATGAAACAAAACACAACTCCAGGTATGTTTGTGAGGAGGTAGCAATATTCTAACATGGCTTTAAGTTTGGTCTGTCTTGAAGTAGTCACTTCTGGCAAACATATAGCTATACTGTGGAATGTGAATGCGTTTTACAATGTGGTTGTTTTGCTGAATTGTTAACATTGCAATATACAGTTACAATGTGAGCTAATGGGTGTGGCTAATAATCATAAACCAAATAGAGTGAGTTATCACATCAATCAATCAGTGCAAAAACAAGATGTTATCGTGCTGTTTTACATGGAGAAATCGGCTGGCTTGGTCCATCGAGCCCATTGTAAACATTCTATAATCTCATACACAAATACATATGGAAGCAAGTAACTGTATGCTATGCAGTGTTGACAAACTTACACGCTCTGCTCAGTCCAGACTTTGACCAGCTCTGCGGTCAGCCAAGCATCCAGGATCAGACGGCTCACCAGGGACACATTACCTACAGGAAAACAAAATAGACTTTAAACATTACACAAGAAATACAACAACAAACTATGTCAATTCACACAGCAAAAACAATATTTACATGGGTTTCAGTGACTTCATACATGTAATTGACGGCATGGGAGAAGCAAGAAGGTCCCCAGACATGTTGAGCCACGATTTCTGTCAAGAGTGACTAGCTGGTTGCATGGCATGTCCAAATATGTCCTGATTGGCCCTACTTGGCTAATCCACCTGTCAATTACTCCCATCTGAACTCAGGGAGATTCACAGGTGACCAGACTCATATCTTCATGAAGTATTGAAGAAGTGTGTGTTCTGGATCCCAGGCAAACTAGCTGGAGGAATAACCTCTAAAACACATATTTTGGATTGATGGAAGAAACCAAAGAAGGTGTCATTTAAAGGACCCATATTAAGCTGTTTTTAGAACTATGTTAGAATGTTGTTTTCTCATCACAAACATACACTACCGGTCAAAAGTTTTAGAAGACCACACTGTTTCCTGTTGACCAAAACATATTCTAAACTTTTGATTCATCAGTGTAGCCACATTTGGCAGATATAACAGCTGAACACACGTGGCATTCTTTTTTAGAAATTAAATATTCTTCAGAAAGTTCTTCCCAAGTCTGTTGCAGAAGTTCCCATAAATGTGTGGCACTTGTAAGTTGTTTGGCTTTCATCCTTTTGTCCAGTTCATCCCAAACCAGCTCGATGGGGTTTAAGTCTGGAGACTGTGCTGGACACTTCATGTTTTCAAGTTTACCATCTTCTTTTTTCCTGAGGTATTTTTGGCATAACTTGGACTTGTGTTTTGATCTTTTTTTTTTTTTTTTAAACCTCTGACTTTTCAGTTCTTATCGTTCTACCATTTCAGCCTCTTCAATGGACTTGCACGACTTGAATTGCAATAAATAACTGGAAAAATTAGGGTGTTTTAAAACTTTTGACCGGTAGTGTACCTGGAGTTGTGCTGTTTAATTTGCATACGTTTAACACAAAAACCCTGCATATTTAGACTGAGTTCTTCTCTCAAAGTGAAAACACACTGTTCCACCTTGTGATATCATGTGTCAGTACAGGAAGTGCTCCTCTGTGTTTTTAAACTACATACATCTTCACAAGAATCATTTAGGTAATTTCAGTCCTGGAATTTTCAGTCTTTACTGAACTAAGGATAAATGATAGCTGGTGACTTGAAAACTACAACTACATGACATCACAAAGTGGAATAGCGCATTTTAGAATAATAATAAAAATTTACTCGAACATGTTATAATATATTTCAGCAAACGTTTTGCTTAAAATGGAAACAAAAACTTTGAGCAAAATAAAAAGTAAACAATTCAAATACAAATTCTAATGATGTAATTTAGGAAACTCAAGCCACTAACATCATTCAAATAAAGGTGACTATAACTTTTCTGGTCGAGGGTCCATAACCTTAAGATGACATTGCCTTCACTGGAATGTTCCACAGCATGGCATTAAACCTATCTAAATCTATTTTGCATTAATTGGAGTACACTTTGAACTGTGTCTTTTACAAAAAAAAAAACATGCATTCTTACTGTGACCTCTCCACAGCTCTAACCTGTAGGCTGGTGGTGTCAGTTGTTTGTTGCCATGGAGATAGAAAAGTGTAATGCTATGCTGTGGAACATTCCAGGTGAAGCGATAACATCTGCATTTACCAGAAAAGTTACTTGACACCCCTCAATCAATTCTAACTCCTGTAAATGTTATTTTTTGCAAAGCACACCTACAAGCTGGCTACAGGAAGCAAGTCTGTGGCGTGTACATAAATAATTGCCCTTGTGCCATTGTGCAAGACATTAATTCTGGCTGACTTCAGAGGTTCTATTCCCTAGGTTGCATTAAAGCATATGAGAACTGCGCAATGAATCATACAGATGTGTATGTTGTAGTATGAGAAACGGTAGATGTGGAGAGCCGGATCTTTAGCCTGGATAAATGACGGGGGAGATGTCAGAAAAGTGTCTGACAGAGAAGCTATATTTTGGGGGTGTCTTCGCTATGGGATGGTGGTCCTTAGCTGGAGCTGTGAGTATGTCTGAGAATTCCATTGGCAGTAAATGTAGTGTTAAAGTAGTCTTACATCCCCAGAGTGTTGTAAGCACCTTCACTGGACACTTTGTGGTCTAAGAGAATGACGAGTGTGGGTTTTGGCTGAAAGAGGTGGCTCAAATGGAAGGAGTTTAACTGACGTAAGATTCTCATGCAAAAATATTGATACTTAAAAGTCTTATATTACATAAAATGGACTCTTGTGAGCTTTAAGTCATGTTATAATGTTGTTACCTCAAAAACAGCCCTGTAACCCTGGAGTTTAAGTAACTCTGAATTATTAGTCTGTCTGCATCTCCAAAACTGTCTCCTCTGTCCAAAGCATCTCATCTGTTCCACTTTGTGATGGCATGAAGCAATAGTTTTCAAGTTAACAGCTACCTTTTACCTTTTATTGAGGTGAGACTGGCAATTCCAGGGCCAAAATTATCCAAATGACTAGTGAAGGTGTATGGAATTTACCAACACAGTAGAGCAGTTTCTGTATTACCACATGACATCACAAGGTGGAACGGTGTTTTCGGTTTGAGGGAAGACCTCAGCCTAAATATGCAGAGCTTGTGTGTTAAACATGTGTGGTATGTTTGAGGTGTGGTCTGTCATTTTAGTGCTTTTAGACCTGACTGTCACTTTTGACACAGTCGTCCACGCAACTCTTTTAAAATGTCTTGAAGAATGTTTGAGTGTCAGGGGGAATGCCCTGGAATGGTTTAGGTCATACCTCTCTGGGCGGTCCTTCACTGTAAGGCTGGGGGACTCCACCTCTTTCATCCAGTCCTGTTCTTAGTGGAGTCCCCCAGGGTTCAATTCTGGGGCCTATGCTTTTTGTAGTCTACCTGCTGATTGCCAGATTTACTAGCCTATTGGATCAAAGGATCCAACAGGCATAGGATCACTGCCCCTTGACACCCCAACTCGACTGTCAACTGGTTTGATTGGCCCAAAACTTTTTAAAACTGAAAGAAGCAAAGGCAGAGGTGTAACTGCGTGGGTCCGGAAGTAACCTCTTTGATGTGGGACCCCTCAAAAATTATGTTTGCCCCACAGTCACCAACCTTGGTGTCAGACAGTGATTTTAAATTTGACAAGCAGAACAATGGCATTTTAAAATCTATTTTTTATAATTTGCGGCTTTTATCCAAAGACTAACCTTTTTTGTCTTTTAAACTTTTTGAACAGTCATGCACACTCTTATTTCATCACGCCTGGACTACTGTAACACACTTTCACAAAACACACTTTACCAACTACATTGGCGCGATTTTTAACAGGAACCAAAAAAGTGAGCACAATACTCCAATTCTTGCATCTTTGCTCTGGCTTCTTGTCAATTTTAGAGTTGATTTTAAGATTTTATTGTTTGTTTTTAAAGCTTTAAATATTATTATTGTTGTTATTAGTATGCATTTGTGCTTCCCTTTGGAAACTCTTTGTTTGTGAAATGTGCTATAGAAATAAAGTGGATTGGATGTTTGTGATGAGGAAACAACATTATAACACTGATCAGGAAACAGCGTAACATGGGCCGTTTAAAAAGGTCCCCGACTCACTTTGTTGAAGATGACTGATTTTGAACTTTAATTCCTTCTGTGGTTTGACACATTGTTTGGGATTCAAACCGGCCACCCTAATGTCCAATGACTGCTTAAATGTACAGTACTATATTTTTACTGTATCAGAAAATGCGAAAAACAAAACTCGTTCATTTAGTTCAGTTTGTAGCACCCTCCTACCTTACCTTTATACACTCAACTACGGATATCATTGCATTGTAAACAGCAGCTTCACCTTGATCCTGTTGTCTCTGTAATACACTTACGGGAGCAGATGGTTTAAGCAGGAGCTACATTATGTGATGACAGCACGCATGAGTCAGTCCCTGTCTACAGTAATATGACAGCATCAACTTCAAGGAAACTGATGTCATCCCAGTGTCACCCCAGAGTCACCCTGCTCGCACCGACCTAATCTCATCACCAGGCTGGGACCCTTGGGTGCTGCTGACCACGGCTGTTATGAAAGTGAACCCTCCGGTGAGCAATCAGGCTGTGTTAAGTGCATACACTGGACAGCACCGAAGGAATGTTAGACTCTATTATGTCATTGTATTGATTGGTGTGTGGTTTAGTGTTTTGTCATGTGAGAGGGGCATAATAAAAAGGACAAAGTGAATATGTAATATGGTCATCAAAAATGTTGTAAAATGATAGAGTAATGTGCAAAATTATTCAAAGGTCCTATATTATGGAAAACTGACTTGTGAGGTTTTAGCTATGTTATGATGTTGTTACCTCCTCAAAAACATAACTGGAGTTGTGTTTTGTATCATTCACACATTTGGGTAATCCCTTTATTATTAGTCTGTCTACATCTCCAAAGCTCAAAATGCTCTGTTCCACATTGTGATGTCATTTACCTTAAGTTCATTAGAGATTGTCAATTCCAGATCTGAAATCATCCAAGGATACTAGTGAAGATGTGAGGTTTAAAAAACACAGTGGAGCACTTCCTCTATTACCACATGACATCACAAGGTGGAACAGAGTGTTTTCTGTTTGAGTGATGAACATAGCCTAAATATGGAGGGTTAGTGTGTTAAACATGTGAATGAAACAAAACACAACTCCAGGTGTGTTTGTGATGAGGAAACAACATTATAACATCAGAAAATAGCATAATATAGGTACTTTAACACAGTGTTTCCCAAACTTTTTTTCTGGGGACCCATATTTTAAATCTTAAACCCTCACGACCCAAGTCAATGGACATTATTTGTAAATCACAAAATAAAGGTGGATTTGACCATTATTGAACATTAATGAGGATATTATTTATTGCTGACTGAGTGATCTTGTCTCTCTGAATAATTAATATTACTCAAGTTTTAAACAATGGAAAAGTAACTGAACCAGCAATAAAAGGATTCATAAGTCACCTGAAGTGCTCTGACCTTTGCTGATTTATCGTCCTTCTTTTTGGACAACCAAGCAAGCATTTCTCAACTTTAGCTGCAGGAACACTGGTCTGGGGCAGGCAGATGGGATTTGCTGGCTCACTCGCTCTCTCATGTGTCAGAACTGTATATTACAGATCGACATACAGATCATAACAAGGAGACCCAAAAAAATCTCTGGCGACCCAACTGAGGGTCACAAGTCTTTAGGAAACAATACTTTAACTAACTTCACTATTACTACTATTACCTTCCCACCATAGACTGTATACGAGTGGACTAAAAGTGGACTGAGTGAGTGTGACGTCACCTGAAGCGTTCAGTTCCATTCAAATGAAGCTCCCAATGCTAACAGTTACAGGAGCAAATTTAGAGCCAGGCTTCATATTTGGAAATCTGACCACGAGTATCAACCACAAGAGCTAATCATGATTGAGGTTGTTAAATGTGCCCGCCCTTCTCACCGGAAAGTGGTAACAGGGCTTACTTAGCAACGAAACGCACTAGCTGTCAATCAAACCATGGGGAAGGAAGGCGTCTGATTGATCCCTTATTTATGTTCTTGATCTAGGGACAAAATAACGAAATGAAAAATTGAGGATCATATAGAGTGGGTTAATACGAACATTTTAAGACCAAAATGATGAGGCTCACTGCACCAGTTACAGAGAGAGGGGCCACAAGATCCCAATGTAAATCAATTGGAGCCAGGGTCAAAAGGAACGTGGCGGCTACCATGTTAGCTATGTCCATTCATATATACGGTCTATGCTTCTTACCTGCCCATCTCAGTTTTAAACCAGTCTCTTTAGCATGTTGTGACACCTCATGCACCCATGGGTTACTCACAAGCGGCTGGGGTGTTCTTCTCGATGAAGAGGAAGTCCTGGAGGAACTGGCTGTTGTTGTGGGACATCTTCAGCTCTTTGCAGTACTCCCTGAGCACACAGAGTACACAGACAGAGTACCTCATGTGGGTATGTGTAAAGAGAGGGGGGCATCAGGTAGGGCCGGTTACTCACCTTGGGGCGATGTAGGTGTAACCAAACTGGTCAAAGCTGTCCAGCTGAATAGTCTCCTTGGCTTTAGACATGTAATCAAATAAGTGAGAGTGTGAAAATGGACAACAGCAATTACATGAATAGTTTAGTTTAGAGCTGGTATTACACTTTTATGGGGTATTAACTGCTAACATAGTTAGAACACCATGCTACCTTTAATTGTTTTGAAAATGCTATATTTGCCAAAAACAGCTTATTAAAATGTGTCATTAGTTTAAGTTTAGTTTTTTGTTTATTCACAACACAAACAGCATGCATCCCACTAATGAAACTACTGCACATTGCATCAGGATTGTAAACTTGCAGTATGTGTGTGTTTATTTTTTTAATCATTCTTTTGATACTGTATTTTTCAGACAATAAGTTGCACTTTCTTTCATGGTTTGGGTGGTCCTGTGACTTATACTCCGGACTTATATATTAAAATTCCACACTGACAGCCACAAGAGGGCGCTCAAGGCTTGTAGCCAGTATCTGCTACTCCTATTACTCCTGTACCACTGTCACTTCACTCTACTGCGCATGTCTCCTGCAGAAAGAGCCACTGTCCTGCTGCAAGTAATGAAATATTCAGCCGAAAACAGTAATCGAGCAGCAAAAAGAAAGTTTGGAGTGACCGAGAAACTTGTGGGGGACTGGTGGAAAGAGGGGATGAAGAACACAGCTTCATGACAACTCGGAGGGTGCACTATCCAACTTTCCTGAAAGTCACTGGATTGACCAAGCATGGACTTCAGTGACAGCCAAAACCATCCTGTCGGGATTCAGAAAGGCTGGAATAGTTCTAACTGTTACTGATGCTGAGTCCGATGACAGCTACACAGAAGAGCAAGTGGGGCTTAATTTACCTCTGGAGGTTGCGGAGTTGCTCAGAAGTGACATTGAGGATGAAGAATTCAATGGATTTAGTAATTTGGAGTGAGATCGAGAGTTTGGTAAACGTGTTATGTTGTTTGCGCCATAGTTATCTGAAGAACTGTTCATATGTAACGTTAACAGTCTGTTGTTCTCTGTTCTATTGTTATTATTATAACTTGCCTTTCAAGATGAAATGTTGGTTCCTGCTCTCTGATTTTATAAAATACATTTCCCCCAAAAAGTGCGACTTATAGTCGGGTACTTAGATATCTTTTTTTCTTCTTCATTACGCATTTTTTGGCTGGTGCGACTTATAGTCTGAAAAATACGGTATTTATGGAAAATTGTCATGCAGGAGTGTGGGTGATGTAACACTGTGGGCTGAGCTTCATACAGGCTCATACTGCTAACCATGAAGAAGATTTGAATAGAGAGAGACTCTTAAAATACTCAAACATGCATGGATGCCATCTAAAATCCTCTTCATGCATGTTTTTGATATATATCTGTTATAAAATGATAGAAAGCTCCAAAGAATGGATTTTGCATTAAAGGTGCATTGTGTAACTTTTCTGGCGCAGGGTATGCGAGGGATTGCTTTTCTCCAAGGAAATGTTATTCCTTTGTCTTGAATGTTTCACAGTATGGTATTAAGCCTTTCTATTTTCATGGAGACCAAATGAGACCAAGGTACAGGTCAGATCTGTGGAGAGGCAACCCTGCTTACAGTCTGAATGCTTGCTTTTCTAGGTATTTTTGAGCCTTAAAACCACCTATAATATAATAAATGTAAGGTAGAGCTGTTTAATGTCATATTGTGGAACATTCCAGCCAGAGCAATGACATCCAAACAAAAGAAACAAAAAGGTGATGGAGCACCAACTAAAAAGTTACACAGTGCACCTTCAAGCTAGAATACCATACCAAAATAGTTAAAATACTCAATTATACACACACAATACTGTACATTTACAGAAAAAGCACATTTATACAGGAACACTTGCCTTTTTGACCTGTTCAGACCGCCCAGAAAAACAAAGAGAGACACAGAGAAAGCAGCATTAGATAAAGCCATATAAGACCAAAGCTGATAAACGCATTGTTCATGTTTAGATATTAGAATGGCCTGTACATATTTCCCATAGTGCGTCACCAGGACTCAGTGTAATGGGATATGATATGGACGAGACGTAATGTAAAGTGATGGGGACCAAATGCTTCTGCTCTGGATCAGATTTAATACGCTGTACTGTCTATGTGGTTCATGTCTCGTAAATGACAAGCCGGGCGTTTCAACCATCACTCAAAAGGCTGTGGGGGTTTTAGACAGTTCCTTATCAAACTGTCAAATTGCGGTGCAGGTAGAGTCTCCCTTGATGTTGTGGAAGAAACTTGGTTTTAATATACGGCTTGTTAAAAATGCAAAAAAAAAAACTACCAAAAAACAGAAGAGAATAATGAGAAAAGAAAAGCTATTTGGAAATAATTTCAAAAATTAGCTCACAAAAAAGCAAAAAAAAAAAATAAATAATAATAATAATAATAATATATATATATATATATATATATATATATATATATATATATATATATTACACCTCTATTACTATGATTATGACTACTGCTACTACAACAATGACTATTACTATTAAAGCATTAGCAGCAGAAGTAACTACTACTACAACTGCAACTTGTACCACTACTGCAACTGCTAGTACAACTACTATAACAACTTCTAAAACTACTACTACTGCTGCTACTATTACAACTGTAACTTGTACCACTACAACAACTGCTAAAGCAACTACTATAACAACTTCTAAAACTACTACTACCAACACTACAGCTACTACTACCACTGCAGCAACTACTATTAACAGAGCAAAAACAACAACTAACACTACTACTACTACTACTACTACTACTACTACTACTACTACTACTACTACTACTACTACTACTGTTAATACAACTACATCTGCTACCACTAGTACTACTACTTCTAGCAGCAGCAACTACTACTACTACTACTACTACTATTACTGCTCCTAATGCAAGGGGGAAATCTGAACACGTTTGTATTGAAAATGGGAAAATCACAAGAGAAAGTGGTCATCTGGACTAAGTTTCAATAAAATATTTCTTTTTAATTAACAAAAATATATGAGGAATATATGTGGAGTTTGAAAATCAAGTCTGTAAAGAAAAAATAATTGAAAGAACAATAAAACACTGCAAAAAGTACGAGGTTTAGCTGTAGTGGTGACAACAGTGTGATTTATAAGAACTACATACCACACAAAAAAAAAAAAAAAAGAAAAAAGATTGTCAGTTTTTTTTTTCCAGCACTGCGGTAAAACATGAATTTCTCTGGCTCTGATTTAGCACACTGTCTTATGACTCGTATCTCGTAAATGACATGACAGGATTACTGGCCCTCACTATAGAACCATGTGACCGTTCGAGACAGTGCCTTTAAATAATATATGGAGTCTAGCGCACTTCTGCTAAAACTATTACAGTGAGCTGACTTCACTTTGAGATGAAGAAAAACAGGGTGGGAGGGATCGAGTGGAGGACGAGAGAGGGGGGTGAGTAAGAGCATCAGCATTACTATTAAATTCTACTGTAAACAGAGTATTAATAACAGCTAGCAGTGGTGGAAGAAGTACTCACTGTTGATATTTAAGTAAAAGTACAGATACCACAGCAAAAAAGTATCACATGAAAAAATCTAAGTAAGAGTATTAAAGTATCTGTTTAAAAATATACTTAAATAGTAAAAGTATTTCAGAAAGGTTCTGAGATCTAATAAAGCTTCATATGTAGAGATTTTTATACTGATATGTGTTGATTTTTTTGTTTTGATTTTGTTTACTCAAACTAGAAATGTGTTAAAGCCATCAGATTTTTCAACAGGTCTCGGGGCTCAAACTATAAGAAAAAAATACTTTTACTTTTCAGTCCACTTCAAAAATGTGGTGGAGCAGAAAATACAGATACCTGGTCTCAAATGTAGTGAAGTAAAAGTAAAAAGTATTCACTTTAAAATGTACTTAAATAAAGTACAGATACTTAAAATGTATCCTCAAGTACAATACTTTACTACTTATACTTTGTTCTATCACTAATAACTAGTATTGCTAAAGCTTGAATCATTCATTTTAAAAGGATGTAACAGTAACTGACTGCAGTATTGAAATTAGTACCTGATTCTGACCTGATCTTAAAAATGTGAAAAACAGAACTAGTGCAATTTAAACTTCGAATGAATATCCTTCGGGATAATAAAATATTTCTAATCTAATCTAAAAGGTTTGCAGAGGTTCAAAGTGATTCCTTACTTATCAAGCATCCTAATTATTCACCGAGATGAGTTTATAAGCACGTGTCACGACTTTCAGAGGCCAGAGTGGAGTTTTGCGTCATAATAACGCTAAAAGCAACTAGCATACTAAACACACGTTGTGATTCTGCTTATTTCAAATGTATGAGACCTGTAACAGATTTGTTTCCATATATGAGTAAAACGTCTTGCCTCAGTACAGATATAATGTATAAGCAATTATTGAGGTCAAAATATACTGTATATGTTGTGGACTGTCAACATCTAATTATACAGTGTTTTTGTCATAGAATCAGGAAGTGCACATTAGCATGCTAGTTGTTGTTAGCGTTTCTTTACTCTGATCCCTAACAGTTGTGGAAATTGCTTATAAACTCATCGCGGTGAATAATTAGGATGCTCAGAATGCATAAGATAAGTGAGGAATAACTTTGGACCACTGCAAACCTTTTAAAATGTACCAGATCTGTTTTTTACATTTTTAACACAGTAAAGTGGCTTTCTAATGGAAAGTGACTGCTGATATCTTCCATACTAGCACATACATGTATCTATCTTCTTTAATATCTCAATAACAATAAATTCTATGCACTGGACTCATTAATCTCCACATTTCGTGATCACAGTGGTGGCTGTGTATAGGGTCTCCAAAACTCATTCATTGTACCTGTCAAACTAGTCACACGTATATGAAGCCTGTGTGAAAAATGGCCGTGTACACACAGAACAACAGAGAGAGGGGGAAAGCAGTTGCCCCAGGTCCATGCTGTCACATCCACAGATCACAACTCAATTCCAATACTACAAATAGACACAGTATCGATTACAATACCTTGATGATGATTAAAAAAACAAAAAACAAAAAAAAACTCAAATATGATTTTCAACATGAAACCATAGTACTCCTTTTTATATTATGTGTGGTTTATATTTGTGTAATCCTTCAGTGATACAGGTAGGTTCCACTGTGGTCCATCGGTGTATATATGTAGTTTTATAATGTTCTGGTACAGCTCAAGATCATTTTAAACCTACTTGGGAAAGGTTTGTTTCTGTCCTGTGAATGTGACTTTTTAGTATCACACAGACTAGTATATGCCCATGGACCACTATGGAATCTGTCTGGACGACTGAGGGACTACACAGATATAAAACCACATGGTAAGAAAGTACAATTATATGTTGAAAATCACATTCCATTGTCTAAAGAAAGAGTGTATCGTGACAACAGTACCGTGGATTTATGCATATATAGTATAGTACAGTCCTCACCCTGTTGAATGTCATTCTCAATTCTGGCCTGAATGAAGTGTTCACTGTATTTGGGAAGAACCAGGGCCAGGCTGTGAAGAAAGAAAGAGATAAGTAAAGCTGATAAGTACAACTGGTCACGTGATCGGCTGTGAGTTGGAGATATTTGTCACAATAAGGGACAGAAGGACATTGGACAAACTGCTCTCCATCATGCACTCCAGCTCACTCACTGCACCAGACTATAGAAGGACAGAGGAGCTCATTCTCCAACAGGCTCCTACAGTTCTGCTCAAACAGTGACAGATACTGAAAAAATATGTCTACTTTTTTTTTTTTTTTGCTATATGATAAGATTTAATCCATAAAAGTTTAATTAGCTTTTTAACAATACTGTAGATAAAGAATATTTTTTGTGGTTTAAATCTGCTCTTGGGTTATTGTGTCAGTGGCATGAATTAGCTTCAATATGATCGTCTATATTTACTTTAGCAATATAGCACATTTAAAATTTGCTATCGTAGCAGACCTATAAAACCAATCTGCAATATTTTCAACTACAGTGACCCCTATTGGTTTGATAAGACTACTCTATCAAATTAATGTTCAAGAAAAAATCACTTTTATTTCACACATTTCACCAAGTTCCTCTCAAAAGCTGTTCAAATGAGACGAGTCAATCAGGTATTATCACTGAAGGACATATCTGAGGTTTTTAATAGTGTCTCCTCTAGACTGTGAAGCCATTTGCATTTTTATTTAAGATCAGTGAGGCACGCAAATATGATTTTAGTATATGAATAGAAAATCCAGCTTGGATCATTTGACAAAAAGCAAAAATTAAAAAAAACAAACAATATTTTCCAAAAACATGTTGAAATTCTCACCTGTAGTCTGTGCCGTTGACTGGTGCCCATGTGTATGTCCGTACTCCCCGGTCTATGTACCTCTGTTTAAAAGACAATGTTTTGTTCCATTCAGTTAAAAAAAATAAAATTTCAACAATCAAGGTTCTACAAGGTACACTTTTGCAAAATTTTCAGAAATTGTTTGCACATTTTACTTTTTTCTGGCTGGCACAAACCATCTTGCATATTTACAGAGATAGATTCATAGATTTAGAACAGTTTTTTTAAACACAGAAGTGAAGCAGACCAACGCACAGCTAACATGCTCTCATCCCACAGCAGTATACAGTATATGGTGTATCAGACTTGTTATTCCTGGTTTATGATTGATGCACAGTGCACACTGGTCCAATTCTGGCACAATTTTTACATGATACTCTACTGATGAATACAATACTTTTTTTTGCAAGAAAAAAAGTTGGGTTCACAGTATTTTAGCTACATCCCTTCTGACTTTTTAAGACATACCCAAATTAATGATGGAAAAATCACTAATACAAACTACCATAGTATCAGCAATATGAATATATCTGCATATCTCCTGTATTTGATATAGGACTGTCTTACCTCGTCCTGACTCTTGACCAGTGTGTTGATGGTGCGCTCACCGGTCTCTCCGTCAATCATGGTCCTCCGGATCTACAGGGACACAGCACAGCACTGTGATCTGATTTACTGTACACAGACACAAAGCAGCTGGAACCTCACGCAGCAAGATGAATTCCCGTGATATTTGTGAGCTCGCAAACTCGCGAGAATCCATCTTGGCGTGCCCCCGCTGGTGCGATAGGGCCCACCCACTGGTTGGCGCACCAATGATAGAGCGGCACTGGGGTTTGAGCCGAAGCCAAAGACGAAGCACCCAAACAAAACAAAGACAAAAATGGTGACTGCCTAACTATTTTGTAAAAACTTGCAGAAGGTAAGCAATTTTGTGTATTCATGGAGAGAAAGATGTTTGTGCTTTCCTCTCAACAGGATGTAACAAAAGTTCTACCAATCAGTTTTAAGTATTTGTTTTAACGTCCCAAGCGCTTTCAGCCAGAGCCATTCCAGATTGATAAAGTGTAGAACTCAATTCAGAGAGATGCACATATCATTCTGGCATGAGGCAGGTTAATAAAGCTGAGTGTACACTACAGTTCCGTGGTTAAAGGTGCACTATGTAACTTTTATGGTAGATTCAGATTCATCCAGCTCTCTGAGGAGACTCATCACTCAGCGGGGGGGGAGTGTGTATTTAAAACTGGTCTAAATACTTTACCTCCACTTTGATGTCATTTCCAGCTCAGCATCCAGAAAGTCCAACGTGACAGGCTCCTGAAATTTAGGATTCTGTGAAGACAAAAAAGAACACCATTTACAATATATCAGTCAGAAGAAGTTTAAACATGGGGATACCATTGTGCGGAAGTGCTGCTATTTGGAAAACTCGCAAAACTTCTACAATTACTTCCACTACTAGACCAACTACTATTTCACTCATTAAAACACCAGCAGCCTATGACTAGTAATAGAGGCAAAAAGAGTAAATTGCATGTAAGTCATTATTGGGAATTAAACTAGCAACATTCAGGTTAATAGACAAACCAATCCACTTTTACAGCTTGCTTGTTAGTCAAATGAAAATTGCTACCAAATGTATGCGTGCTGATATTCCATGTCTATATATTTTTCTGGGATATTTTAAAACATACCACTTTCAGACAGTTCCATACATTGTTTTTTACACATTTGTTATTGGAAGATGGAGAATGAGATTGCTACTTTCGCAATCAACCTCAGCGATTCCATAAATCAAATTCTCCATTAAAAACCAATCAAGAATTTGCAAAGCTCTGTGTGCAGTTAAACATGGAATATAAAACAATATACATATGCTACAGGGATCTCTGGAGTCTCAGCTAAAACAGGACTAGAAACTAGAACAAAAACCAGGTCTAAACCAGATATAAACTCAAACTCATGTATGTAGAAATATAACAGGTCTAAACCAGGACTAACGTCCAAACTAAAACTAAACCATTAAAGTAGAGCTACACCAAACCCATTCTGGGATTACAGGTCTAAATTAGACCTCCACCAGGAGGACTAGCCCGGACATGAAGGTATGAGGGAATCTGGAATAACAGAAAACTAAATCAGGTCTAAACCAGGTTTAAACCAGGTCTAAACCAGGTCTAAACCAGGTCTAAACCAGGTCTACATGTCTAATCTAGGTCTAAACCAGAACTACAACATGTCTAATCCAGGTCGAAACTGGGTCTAAACCAAGTCTAAACCAGGTCTAAACCAGGACTACAACATGTCTTATCCAGATCTAATCCAGGTCTAAACCAGGTCTAATCCAGGTCTAAAGCAAGTCTGAACCAGGTCTAAACCAAGTCTAAACCAGGACTAAATCAGGACTACAGCATGTCTAATTCAAGTCTAATCCAGGTTTAAACCAGGTCTAAACCAGGTCTAAACTAGGTCTAAACCAGGTCTAAACCAGGTCTAAACCAGGTCTAAACCAGGATTACACTAGGTCCAAACCTTGACTATACCAGATCTAAACCAGAGCTAAACCAGCACTACTGTATACTCTGTATAAACCAGGGATATCTTGTGTTGTGGGCACCATATGGGATCATTCTGACAGCACAGCCTGGTCCTGTCGGCTCCTGTCAGCCCCTGTCAGTTCCCCTGCCTCATGAATGTCCATATAAAAGCCCTGTGTTATTGTTACAGCTCTAAGTGGCTTTACAGAGGGATAAAGAGGTAGCACTGCTGGACCGGCTCTCTATAAAACCACAGGGCCTCCAACCAGACTGCAGACTCAGGTTCAAATGAGCCCAAACATCCCTGGTTTAACTTAGTCTGGATACGTCTAACCTGGAGAGACTAATCCGGATTACTCTACTCTGAAGCTACATGATCAAATTTCTACATTTTTTTGGTTATGTTTTTGAACAGGTAAATGAACAAATTAAATCTATCTTCTGATCTATATTATAATGTTGTTTCCTCATCACAAACATACCTGGAGTTGTTTTTTGTTTCATTCAAACAAGTTTAACACACAAACTCTGCATATTTAGGCTGAGTTCTTCTTTCAAACAGTCTGAAATATTTTATTTGGGTTATCCATAATTTCAGAGGGTAAACACACTCCCACTCTCAGTTTGAACACATTTAAACAGATCTGAGACTTGGTCATTTCTCTCTCTGTTTAGTTTGTAGTGAAAGGTGCACTATGTAACTTTTTGGTTGGGGGTCCATCACCTTCTTATTCTACTGAAATGTCATTGCTCTGCTTTGAATGTTCCACAATATGACACTAATCAGATCTACTTTACATTTATTCAATTACAAGTAAGTAAGTAAGTATTATAACTCAAAAATACCTAGAGAAACAGGCATTCTGAGTGTATCTGTGACTGTAACTTGTTCTGGTTTGGTCTCCATTCAGGATGGGCATGATTAGTCTATCAATAATTGATCATTAAGAATTTCGTTGATTATGTTCATTTCTAATCGACAAACTGAATGTAGGTTTCTGTGCGTAGATATGAAGCTGCGTCTGACAGCGTAAATACTGGAGTTGCAGCCTCAGTCCCACGTTTGGGCTCTGGCACCTCCTTGGAAGATCACTGTACCCCACAATGAGTGCGTTTACATGCACATCCGTATCCCGGTTTCATCATGGTGCATGTTTACGCAATATCCCGGTTACTGTAACATAAGAGCTGCGCTAAACCTCCATGCGTACGATCTTTGAAAACACCGCGACACACACACAGAACTGACTCACCTTCAACATCAACATCCCTCTGTCACAGAAAGAAAACACACATTCCACTGAGTCATGTCCTTTAGTCTGACAGAAGCTGAACCGCATCAGCACACAAGAGCGTTTTTTTTTTTTTTTCCCCTGCTTAGTTTATGCAAATTAGCCATGCGGATTTAAGTTTAGTTTCTGTAAGACTTGCTCAAAGCTGCATTAAACACATTATAATCTGATGGGCTGATGTGGCTCTATCGTCATTTTTGTTTATATGTTGTAAAGTTGAATTTATTTATGCAGATTAGTAATAGTAATAATAAAGATGATACTTATTATATAAAAACATTAATGATTAATCGAAAATCGATTGCTAATTCTCCCGACGATCGATTAATAAAATTTCATCAAATGCCCATCCCTAGTCTCCATGATAGAGGTTTAATGCCATACTGTGCAACATTTCAGACAGAGCAATAGCATCTCCGTGAAGAAAAGCATTTGACAAACCCTCCACCAGAAAAGTTACACAATGCACCTGTAAAATTTCTTCTCACATTGGCTTGTGTCATATCAAAAATAGTAAAACTCTTTAGAACGGCTCTTTGAAGTGTGCTGTTCCAGAAGTTTCAGATCCCATAAAAGAGCCGAAAGTCCGATCACTCAGCCCACACCAAAACAGACCAGATCATTTTTAGCAGACACAAAAACCCAAATCAGTGGAGGTCATATATGTGCAGGTAAATACACAGTCTCTTACTTTTAATGGAGCAACATGCAACAGCAGCAAGATGAGAGAAGAGGCAGACAAGCAGCAGCTCAGTGGAAAAATGAGGACAAAAATGCAAATTATAAGATGGGTTACACTGAACTTAATCAAACAGAGAAACAGAGAGAGAAGGGGAGAGAGAGAAAGAGAGAGAGAGATGGATGGAGAACAGAGAGTGGAGATAAAGGCATTGATGTTGAAAGAAAAGGTTGAGTTAGAAAGATGCACTGCTTAAAAAATAAAATGAGGGGAGAGAGACAGACAGAAAGAGAGTGAGAGAGAGACACAGTGAGAGATAAGTGAAAAACAAGCACAGAGAGAGAGAAAGAGAGAGACAGAGAGAGTGAAAGAGAGAGAGATGGATGGAGGACAGAGTGAAGATAAAGAGATTGATGTTGAAAGAAAAGGTTGAGTTAGAAAGATGCACTGCTTGAAAAATAAAATGAAGGGAGAGAGACAATCGGACAGACAAAAAGAGAGAAGGGGGGGGCAGACAGAGAGAGAAAGTGAGACACAGAGAGACAGAGACAGAAAGAAAGAGGGGGGCAAAGAGAGAGAGAGACACAGTGAGTGAGACAGATAGAGATGGAAAGAGAGTAAAAGAGAAAGATAGATGGAGAACAGAGAGCAAAGATAAAGACATTGATGTTGAAAGAAAAGGTTGAGTTAGAAAGATGCACTACTTGAAAAATAAAATGATGTTACAAGGACATAGTTCATCTAAGAGTAGTAATGTACCACAGTGCTTTTTACACCAAAATTCTGTCTACTTTTTATGCAATAATGTTGTTAAAAATGAAATAATTTGAAAATATTAGGTATATGTGATTTGCATTTGCATATTAATGTGTGTCATCCGAAAACTAATACTGCATTTGTGTTGTGTAAAATACTTTTACTTGAATAACTGTATGGATGAATACTACTTACTTTTTTTTTTTTTTTTTTGGCCAAAACAGACAAGTCAAGACATAAAGAGATGGAACTACTTCAATCTACAGTAATCAAATGTTCTATGAAACAACCACAGCACTACTACATTGTGTAACAGCTGAATGTCATAAGCAGGCATGCCAAATTACAAAATACTGTACAACTACATCTCAGCACAAATTTAATATCCACTTAACGGAACTTGCCAACCACAATTGTGGGTTAGTAGCTGTCATTTTATTCGTCGTTTATCTTTAAAGGGCCTATATTACACACAATTTTGATCTGTTATGATGTTTCCTCATCAAAAAACATACCTGGAGTTGTGTTTTGTTTCATTCACACACGTTCAACACACAAACCCTGCATATTTAGGCTGTGGTCACTACTAACTACTCAGAAGATATTGCAGTTGAGTTGAGATGTAGACAGAGTAATAATGCAGAATTACTCAAACATGTGTGAATGAAACAAAACACAACTCCTGGTATGTTTTGATGAGGTAATAACATTTCAACATGACTAAAAACTCTCAGGAGTCAATTGTGCGTAATGTAAGACCTTTAAAATATGATCCATACCATGCCTAGTCATAACATTGGATCTCTCATCATGATCTATTCTACACTTCTACGTCTACACAGCTACCTTCTATTGTCTTTCTACAGTTTTTCTCTCACCTCGTGGAACGTCACTGCAAACTTATTACTGACTCTGAGCTTCCTGTTCCGGATCCTCTTCTGAACAGTTATAAAAATGCATGGGCCATAATCAATAATTCATAACACCGACTTGTATCAAAAGCGAGACAATGTTTTAAAGATGCACTGTGTAACATTTCTGGTTGAGGATACCTTGTTTCAATGAGGGCGTTACTGGTTTGACTAGAATGTTCCACAGTATGGCGTTAAACTTAGCTGTCTCCATAGTAACTGGCTGGTGACGCAACCAGACGAAGTTCAGAGGCAGATCTGTGGAGAGGCGAGCCCACTTAAGTTACATTCATTTAAAAAAAAGTTAAAACATCTGCAATGAAATAAACGCAATAGATGTGTTTAATGCCATACTGTGGAACATTCCAGACAAAGTAGTAACATCTCTATGGAGACAAGCAAGCAAGAAAAGTTACACAATGCACCTTTAACCTAGCTATTTTAGGTTTCAGCCGCAAAACTGCAAATTACCACTGTCATTACTGAAACTGAATTTGTTTGAAATTTGAGCTTTTGGCGGTACAAGATCAAGTAGTTTATTTTATTCTTTTAGTCAAAACTTATAAAGAAATATCATTTCATACAAAGAACACAAATTTGATCTTGTATGAATAGATTATCAACGTAAATATGAACTGACGAAGCACAAAGCACATCTGACCTCATGCCTTAAAGTGGAATTAAAAACTAAATATACATGCAGTATTTTTTGCTACTACTAAACTGTGCAGTATATGGTGTTTTAATAGTATTATCCATAAGTGTAAGTCCTTTTTTAGAGGAAACTAGGTACATTTGGAGCTTTCGGGTCAAAAATAGTTCAAATCCAAATGTGTGTGCTGCCTTCAGTGGCCACTGCAATTTCAAGTAGTTGGTGACATCACTGCCCTGATTATAGCCAGGCGTTTCTGGTTACAAACTGCTACGGGGCGGAGTTTGAAGTGTGGATACCTGTTAGACCAGTCATACTGTTACTTGTATGTCCAGACCCCCGCCCCTCCTCTTCCCTCACTCTGTTTTGTTCAGTTTAGCAGCTCTATTTGATATGTGGTTGTGGGCAGAGGTTAGGTGTTAAACTCCACTTTAAATTGTAATAAAATATAAAGTCTTTTTAAAGGAATTGCATGTAGAATTTTGGTGTTTAATGTAATAAAATCAGCTACCAGGGTAACCAGATACAAGGTAAACGTGTTCAAATCAAATAAAGTTTTACTGATAACAATTCTAATACTGATTTATTTTTAATTACAACAATAAAATGACATGGTGGCCAAGTTGTTTTAATGTTCTGATTATCCAGTCTGAAAGCAGAATGAGTCTTTTATTTGTATTGCCACTTCCAATGCTGAAATCCAGTTTAAACCTAGAAGGACTCTCTCTGATCTGAATCCTCACTGGCGAAACTCCAGCACCTGCAGCCAAAGCTCTTCGGCAGCCTCTAGTGGTAAGACTGAAAAATGCAACCATGTCTAAAACCGGACAAGTCACCAAATACAGAAGCAACTAATTACTTTACAATACAGAATTATGAACAGTCTTGTTGCAGTGGTTTATATCTGTTGTCACATTAACAATTTGGGAGTAATCGCAATCAAAAGCACAATTTGAATGGTCAAAGGTGGCATATTTTATATAGACATTATAAAACTTTCTGCAGAAAACCAATTCAAATGTTAAAATGTGTGAATACAATTTACAAGTCCATACTTCATGTTCCTACCTTTGGCTGGAGATTTGGATGTAGCAGGACATAGCCATTTGGGTCGATAGCAAAGTAGTATCCATTTGGACCAATCTGGAAAAAGAGAAAATCAAATTTAGGTTTACAGTATCAATAATAAAAAATAAAAATAAAAAAAAAGTTATCACAGTGTTAGAATAAGCTTGAGCTTTTTTCAGAACTAGTATAAGACCACATGGTATAATTAAGGAAAGGATGTGTTGAAAATTGGCCTGTTGAAATGTTTTACCTGATTTTTATTGTCTTTAAAATGTAAAAAAAAAAAAAAAAAAAAAAAAAAAACTAGTTCATTTTTGCAGTGGTCCAAAGTTATTCCTCACATACCACAAGCATTCCAAGAGTCTTAATTATTGTTGAATGAAACAAAACACAACTCCACTTATGTTTGTGATGAGGAAACAAGATTATAATGTAGATCAGAAAATAGTGTAATTTGGGCCTTTTAATGTAGTTTGAAATTTTAGCAATGTGACAACACTATACTTTAACTGTTCTGCCTAAAAAGTTGAGAGTCAAGGGAAAGAAGAGCAAATGATATAAATTAAAGTAATTTAAATTCAAATAAGTCTGTTTTTGTACAGTGTAGTGCGAGAGTGTGGTGTGGCCTCACAGTGAAGCGTGGGGTGAGCTTCTTGATGTCGTTCAGAGACACGTCGATGCCCATCACGCCCAGGATCAGCTGGTTCTGATGCTGCACACACACATTAGGAACACAAGGAGAACTGTGGGTGAGATCTAAATGCTAAATGGTCACATTTTTATACAGCACTTTTCCACCTTCAAGGCACTCAAAGCACTTTATATCAAGAAACTATTCAGATATATTTGGCACTTTTTTGGTTAAACACTTTGAATGACTTGAAGTTCAAAGAAGAAGGCTTGGACTTGAATTGGACTTATGGGAAAACATGGCTCCCATAGTTCACATGTGTGTTTCTCTCACCTCTCCGTTCCTGTCATCTTTGGTCTTGGTTTTGTTGAACACAGGAAGTGTTCCAGTGATGACCAGACCCAGCTCCTAAAATCAAAAATACAAACTCATATAACTCTCATAAGAACTACGACTAATATGGCTACTACTACTATGATTACATCTACAAACAACAACTACTACTACTCATAATCCTAGCTCTTTGTTGTATTTTTTTTAAAAATAGCATACCAGGGCATCCAGATAGACATTGGTCCACTGCACTTGTTTGGCCTGTTTATCTGCGAGCACCATGGGCCTCCCCAGAACATCCAGGTACTCCTGACAAGACAGGAAGCAAATGAACAAGTCAGCTATCATCAGTGTTGGGAAGTAACTGACGTGTACCGAGAATATGTACTGAGAATATTAATTTAGAGTAACTGTATTCCGGTACAGTAACATTTTCATTTGGTGGTATTCACAGTACAGTCACTTTATGAAAATCAGAGAAATACATTGCAGTAACAAATCAGTGACAAAATGATAAAATGCAGCTCTAGTGGTGAGCGTGTGTCTCATTTTTCCTTCTTCAATGACTGATAGGAAGCAGTGAAACAAACATAAATCTGTTTTTAACTGTATTTTAAACTTGAAATAACTCTGATTAGTAACGGAACGGAATACATAAAAAAAATACAGTTTATTCCAAGTATTCAGTAATCTATACCTAAATACATTTTCAAAATATTTTTCCCATCACTGACTATCATGTATTAAAGTGTCTTAATTTCATCATCTTAATGAGTTAGAATTGCTTCATTTAAAGCTACCATACTGTATGTACATTTATTTGAGTTTTTTCACCGCTCTATGCTCCGTCTGTTGTGGTGTTCGAGTGCCATCAGCCGAGTTTATACAAATGAGCTATGTGGCTTTAAGTTTAAGTTTTGTTTCTACAAATCTACAAAGTACGCAAATCTCCCCTTATGTCATTATGTAAGCTACAAATAAAATGCGTGAAGCTGTTTTCATCTCCGTTCTTATATAAAGTTGGTTGTATCCAGACGTCTGAGGCAATCAAACTTTTCACACAGCACAAACGTTTCGGGCAGAAATCGATTGCGTTCGTGTTTCTTTGCGGTAAACGTGCATTGCATTGTAGGATGCCTCTTCTTACCACTGATTAGGAAGCTCCAGATTTTCCTATGCCTATGAAAGGAATCATGCAGGCTCCTTTTCCTAACTAATTCCTAACTCAGAGCACATTTCGGACAGTCATTATCATGGCAGGCGGTGATGCACATCCCTGTTTGTCTGGCACACTATCAGACTGCAGTAAGGTAGATAGCATCTAATGGTGAAAAGTGAAAATACAACACGGGCAGGTCGGATAGTCTAGTTGCAGATGGTAGTTTTAATTTGAGCAATTTGTACTTGTTTAGATTTATTTAAAAAGTTTCTTATCCATTACAATAAAGTAAGTAAAATTACTGCAGTCAGAAAATGATCGAATGTTTGGTATAGTGTAAAATGTCCATATCTAGTAACTTGTCTGAACAACACAAAGCAATGATATGAATAACAGCATTTATTTGACATGAAAAGTACCTGCGTATTTATCCTGATGGCTCCAATGGACGGGATCTCATAAAAGTAACCTGAAATAACATTATAAAAATACCAGTCAAATACAACAACATTTAAAGGGCCCTCATCATGCTGATTTTCTGATGTTATTATGTTGTTTCCTCATCACGAATACCTGATGTTTTGTTTCATTCCCATATCAACTTCAACTTGAAAACTACTGCTACATGTCCTCACAGACTAGACAGACTAATAATAAAGGATCACTCAAACGTTTGAATGAAACAAAACACAACTCCAGGTATGTTTTTGATGAGGTAACATCAGAAAAGGACTTAAAGCTCACAAAAGTCAACACTGTGTAATATAGAACCTTTAAACAAACCAAGAGCCAATGATAAAGCACACAGATAAATCCTAATCCCTCATGACTGTGGAGATGTCAGGGGGAACATTTACACAGCGAAATAAATCGTACTTGTTTTCCCTTACAATGCAAATTTAAGCTGAGAGCATTTGTCTTCAATGATTAAAGGAGGACAAGTTAAGAGAAAGGGCTGTCTCTATTTAACCATTATTTATTTTGATTTTGAAAACAGTATGAGTATATGCAAGTGGAGTTCCAACCAGTACAACTTAAAGGCTCTATATCATGCACAACTGAGTCTGGTGAGCTTTTAGTTATGTTATAATGTTGTTACTTCCTCAAAAACATAACTGGGTTGTGTTTTGTTTCATTCAGACATGTATGAGAAACCCTTTATCAGCATGTTTGAGAAACCCTAATGCTCTGTTCCACACTGTGATGTCAGGTTGTGGTAGTTTTCAAGCTACAACAGCAAACTTTTACATTATTAGGTTCTTTTTTCAGACCAAGACTCTGAAAAAAGACAGTTTTCAGACCTGACAGTCAGTGTTGGGAAGGTTACTTTTAAAATGTAATCCCCTACAGATTACAGATTACATATCCCAAAATGTAGTTTGTAATGTAATCCATTAAATTACTTAAAGTGAGTAACGTAATCTGAATACTTTGGATTACTTGATATTGTCATGTTTTTTAAAACTATATGAATGTACCAACCACATTCATTTTACTGTAGAGAAGGAAAGAAGTAAAAAAAAAACAATAAAAAGCTCAATCTTTCCTTAACCAGATTCAAAATACTACTGATAGAGAAATGCTTTTTATATGAGATCACTGCTGCTTTAAATTATGTTCATCCTACTGTTAGGTGTCATATTGTTTATTTAAAAAAAAATAAAATAAAATCACTTTCAGTATAAACATAAAGGCGCCAGTAAAAATCAATAATATTGGATGTTTTTTTTACACAAAATGATGCAGAATCAGATTATTAAGAATGACGATTATTAATGACCTCGTCCACAGTGTGACTGATGCCGCCAACGTGAACAAGACATTTACATCGCTCTTATTGCCGCGTTCTGTTTGGGTTTCTGGCAATGAGTGAAATTATCGAAATAAAATTTTAAAAAATGGGATATAGCCCAAAATGTGAAAACAGGAACATACGGCAGTGTAATCCATTTATTTCAACAAAGTAACTGTAATCCAATTACCACTCACTGAAACAGTAACTGTAACTGAATACAGTTACTCATAATTTGTACTCTGATTACGTAACTCCAGTACATGTAATCTGTTACTCCCCAACACTGGCTATACATTTTCACTTTTACTATAACTTTGAATAGCTTTAAGTTTATTAGTTTTTTAGTTTATATGTTTCTGTTTAAATTGTCGTATATGGGGATATTCACATAAGAAGTTTTGTCTGCTAAAAGAAAATAAAAAGCCCAGATTTAACTGAACCAAATTAAAAATATTATTGATAGAAGACGAGGAGACAAGTCCACACAGCATGGTTTAGTCCTGTTAAATCCTGGTTTAGACCTGGTTTTAGTCCTGGTTTAGACCTGGTTTAGTTTCCAGCAATGACTGGAATTACCAAAAAACAAACAGGAAAACAGGAAAATACGGCAGTGTAATCCGTTTATTTCAACAAAGTAACTGTAATCCAATTACCACTCACTGAAACAGTAACTGTAACTGAATACAGTTACTCATAATTTGTACTCTGATTACATAACTCCGGTACATGTAATCTGTTACTCCCCAACACTGCTGACAGTTTCGACTGCTCACTAGCAGTCTTCCTCAGAGTGGTCACGTAATGTTGCTGTGACATGTCCGGTCAGCTGATTCATACAGGTTTTGGCACTGTTTTCTAACTGGGGGAGGCAGGATGACAGCTCCATCTGCATTTCGACTTCCTCAGGACAGTGTCCCGGGTGTGTGAGAGTAAAAAAGCCCCCTCGTCCTGGTTTATAGTCCTATGGTCACGTTTCCGTACTTTCGATTGCCTCTTTGATCCAGCAACGATGTTTTTTGTCCTCTGCCCCAATGATGTTTGCTCCGTCTCAGTCCATAATATGTTTTTCTCTTTTACAGCCGATTTGAGTTGTTCTTGTTCTGCCTTGTGTTTTGTTACTCGTGTGCACGCTTTCGCTCTTTCCTTCACGCATTCTGTTCTAAGTTCCTTTCCTTTTTTCCTGTAATGAATGTCCCCCTGTTTCCAGATGTATGTTTTATTACAGCACATGAAAAAAAAAGTTTGCTCTCACACACCTGGGATACTGTCCTAAGGACAAGCAACAGCAACATCACGTGACCACTCTCAGGAAGACCACTAGTGAGCAGTTAAATCTGTCAGGTATGAAAAACAAACACTTGGTCTGAAAAAAGGAACCTAACAACATAAAATATCGGAAGACCAAATGAACCTCATTGGACTAGCTACTTTTACCTTTTGTTCTGTAGAGATAAGCAATTCTGGGACTGAAATTGTCCAAATGAAAGTGTATGGAATTTAAAAACACAATGAAGTGCTTCCATCACAAGGTGGAACAGTGTGTTTTCAGTTTGAGAGAAGAACTCTAAATATGTAGGGTTTGTGTGTTAAACATGTGTGAATGAAACAAAATATAACTCTAACTAGATTTTTGATGAGGAAACTGCATTCTAACAGATCAGAAAATAGAGTAATATGGGCCTTTTAATCGTCTGTCATACTTCCATATAGATTTGTTATTTAATTTTATTTATTTACATTTATGAAAGTATAATAACAGTAAAAATAATACTCTATATACATACTATAATAATCAAAAGTATCACACATTGTTAGGCTGGGTGATATGACATGAATACTGACTTGCTATATTGGCTTTTCTTGCAGCTTATTTAGAATGTATTATTACCATTTCTATTTTGTCTCTTTTTTATTATTATAATACATGGTGATGTATGCACTATTGAAAGAGAAAGAGACAGAATTAGAGAGAGGTAGAGAGAGATACTTTATTGGACTGTTTTGTAGTTTTACCTTTGTTGGAGCAGGCCATCCACTGAATGGGTCTCTTGTCGTAGTTGTGTTGTCCCACTGAGAACGTAAAAATCCTCACCTGGAAAAACAGACAAAGCAAAACATCATGAAGCAAGACATTACACTTTTTCACACAGCTAAAGAAGACATAATGTGCTTGTGTCTGCTATAAAGTTATAATCTATGACACCCATGGATCATTATGCTATCATTTGAACATTTTAAATCGCAATATTGATCTAAAATGACTTAATAAAAGAAGATCATCAGAACAAAGAGTCACACAGCTGTCAGTACCTCCGATGGATAGCTACACATCACTCTAGCAAGTTGAGGATATATTTTTTTAAATTTGTACCAAAATGACTATGCAATGCTGCTGAATCATACATAGATCACCAATTGAGAAAATAAAATTGGATAACGAAGTACAAAAACAGTGCTCAAATGTGCATAGATTACTCCAAATACAACTTTGAGAGGGTAACTGAGAAAGGGAAATAACTATAACTTGGATAAATACTCTGAAAAGTAAATTTAGCAAAATAAGTCTGCTTTAAAGGGGACATATTGTGGCCAGTCTGAGCTTCAACAACAGTCGCTCATTTGTGATAGATAATGTCACAAATTGAAAAATAGTTAAGTTTAATTCTATATTGTCAAACATTCTAGGCAAATCAACAACATCTTCATGGAGACAAGCAGGTGGTGATCTCAACACCAGAAAAGTTACATAGTTCACTTTTAAAGAGTGGGTATTACACTTGAGTATTAACTGCTAACACATAACATATTTAGCTACTTTTTGTTGTATACTGGAAACAACTTATTAAATGTTTGATAAGTTTCAGTTTAAATTTTTGATGCTCTGACACTTAACTCCCTTTGCTCTCCATGCTAAGTTACTCCCCCTTCAGAGTGCTATCACATTACAATCATCATGCATCCTGGTAATGAAACTGCACATCATATCAGCTTTCTGAAGTTGTAGTGTATTGCTTTGCATCACGCTTTTGTATATTTATGGAGAATTGTCGTGTGGGGGCATGTGTGATGAAGGTTTGAACTGCTAACCACAAGGAAGGCATGAATAGGTCCTGGGAGAGATCGCTAGATTACTGAAACATGCATGGATGACAAAAAAAAACACTTCGTTTTTGCATAATGCCCCCTGTTAACAGACAAAAAAAGTGCTGGAAAATAATTTAAAAATCCAGAACAAAGCATAGTATATAGGCCTTTGAATGTACTGCGAGGCTGATAGAGTAGATAAAAGGCTGCTGGAGAGGCCATATTGTCTGAAGCAGTTGTTAAAGAGCTCATCTGGATCCCATCTGCAGTGTGGCTAATGAGCTCCAACACAGGAGGCACAGGCCCCAGCACGCTGCTTTTTAACATTCAGAAAGTAAAAGTGCTGTACCTGATTTTTACTGACTGAAAAACAAAACTAGTTCATTTTATTTACCGTAATACACTATTTTCTATACGATATATATTGTTTCCTCATTGCAAACATACCAGGAGTTGTGTTTTGTTCCAGTCACACATGTTTAACACACAAACCCTGCATATTTAGGCTGTTTATTTCTCCACTGTTTTTAAACTCCACACACCTTCACTAGAATCATTTGGATGATTTCAGTCTTGAAATTGCCAAGCTCTACAACTCACACGGTGGAACAGAGCATTTTGAGCTTTGGAAAAACTATAATGCAGGATTAACTAAAACGTGTGTGAATGAAACAAAACACAACTCCAGGAATGTTTCGATGATTTGATAATTCCTCATTTACCTTCCAAGCATCCTAATTATTCACCACGATGAGTTTATAATCAATTTTCACAACTTTCAGAGCAGAGTTTTGCCATCATGTTAAAGCTAACAACAACTAGCATGCTGACAGTGTAGTTCCTGGTTACTGGACAACACTTTATAATTTTGATGCAGACATATTTTGACCTCATGAGGTACTTTTACAATATATCTATACTAGTTTTGCTCAAATGCATGGAAAAATAATGGGTTACAGACCATTTCAAGGTGCACTATGTAACAGTTCTAGTGGAGGATCCGCCACTTTCTTGTCTCCATTACAGCAAAAATACATGTAATTAATCTCTATGAAGACAAGAAGGTGGCACACCCCCTCAACAGAAAGGTTACACAGTGCACTTAATAATCTTAATAAATGAATTGAATCACAGTGACACCCATCATCTGTTATATCCGGTTTTAGGCCCCTGTGTGTTCTGCAGTATAACTAAAGAACTTGTGTGAGGCTTGTTTAAAAGCACAAATCATCTCAGTTGTTGTAGTTCCAACCAGGTCAGCTCTTTCTGGTCAGATTGCATTAGAATAAAGATCAGGTTAAAGTCTAACTTGAGTAACAGAGCTTCTAGCTTTTAGTTTGCTTTACACCCCCAGGGAATGTTGATGATGAAGTATCACTTATCTGTACAAATTTACTGCAGCATCACAGTTAAAATATTCATGCACTCCTGGCTTGTGGTTCTACCTTCTTGTCTGCGTTGTACTTCTCCAGAATGGCCTGGGCTCTCTCCTCTCCTCCGTCAGTGAACAGCATGATGATCTTGTTACAGTTGGCTCGACTCACATTGGTCTACGAGAAAACACAAGACAAAAATAAAATATAGAATGTAATATTGATGACCGATTTGACCTTTTCATTATATTAGAATTTCTCACTTATTTTAGTCAGCAAATTGGAGTTACATGGTTTCATTTTTTGCAATAACAGCTCCTATCTTATAGCAACAAGTTTTAATGATTTTCTAATAATTTTTTGGTGTGATAGGATATTATATGTAGTAAATATTTATTACAGTTTTACATCAATTAAGTGGCAGTTTGTGGGAAAAAAATATTGAAGAGTAGACCTACAATAATATAGGAAGTTGCAAAATTCTGAAACATAACACCTCCACCTATGTCAGAAACACAGAAAATTCCATCCAAAATGCAGAGCCAAATCAAAGATCAAGCCATAATTTAAATGCACATTGTGTAATTTTTTGGTAGAGGATTCGGCACCTGCTTCTCTCCTTGGAGATGGTAATAAAACTAAACTTATCCATCTTCGATTCATTCAGTTATGGGTGTTTTTATTGCTCAAAGAACATGCACACCTTCAGTCAGACAGACATCTTCTCCACAGACCTGACCGGTATCTTGGTCTGGTGGCATCTCCTGCTTGTTTACTACCATACTATGAGACATTCCAAGGAAGCAATTGCATTGTCATGGAGACAACAATATAGGCAGACCTTCAACCAAAAAAGTTACAAAGTTCATCTTTAACAAAGTAAATGTGTTGTCATTTATTTTCATTAGTCACATAATCACTATTGTGTAAATGAGACCGATTTTAGCCTTTGTTATCATTATGGTTGCTAGGTAACAACTATGTATGTCATATTAAATTATAAACATCACACAAAATTGCTGACAAAGAGAAAACTAGGCAATTGCTCAGTAAAATCTTGAATATAATCATGCTATGTTTTAAAAGTGTAGTCTAACATGGCATACGCACTTTAAGTCCTTATTCTAATTTTCATAACAATAAAATAGTTAAAAATGGATAATGTTTGATATATAGTAAAATATATCTTCCATCACTCTAAGCAGTTCCATTTTGTCATGTTCAAAACTACAACATGACCACAGATAACCCCAGTAAATCAGCACACTCACCAGCAGGTGGCACTAAAGGACAACTATCCTGTCTCTCGCGGACTCCATTCACAATCAATCGCTAGCTTTTTCTTTCTTTGTTTTTTTTTTTTACATGCACACCAAAATCTGTTATCTGATTTCTGGAGTGATCAGATTATTGAAATGTCATGTAAACAGCTATAGCAGATGTGAGTAATCTGATATCTTTCTGACTGTTCATACCTCTGCAGGTTTGGAGAAGGAAAATGATGCAAAAGACAAACTAATGTGGCAAAGACAAAAATGAAAGAGAAAATGTTAAAGAAGACATATTTTGCTTATGTCTGCCCTATAGTCATAATCTATGGCACCTGAGAATCATTATGTTATAATTTGGACATTTAAAATCCCAATATTCATCTAAAAAGCACTTAAAAAAGAAACAATTAAGCCACCTTCCACTACAGAAAACTGCTGTGCCCAATGGAAATTAACATCGTCATAAAACATCATCACAACAAAACACCCCATAGCTGTCTATACCTCTGTTGGATAGCTACATCACACAAGCCAGCCATGGATTTTTTTTTCATTTGTACCAAAATGTCTACATGAAGTTGCTGCATCCTACGCATATCTCAGATGAAGAAAATAAAACCGAAGAACAGAAGTAAGGACAGAGTAGTGGGCTTGTACCAGTGGCGGTGAAAGTAGCAGCAAAAAGTGCTTGTAGCGATGATGTCTTGACAACAGGAGAATAAAGGTTACTCAAACATGCATGAATCACTCTAAATGCAACCTTGGGTGAGAAAATGGTGAGGGAAAACAACTAAGCATGGTTCAAAACTTCAAAAAGTTGATTTTGCATAATAGGTCAAAAGTTGACAAAAGTTATTTTAATATTCAAATGTAATTTATTCTCATTTGATTTAATTTCATTTTATGCCATATGCCAATACATTTTCAGGAGCCTGTGATCAATACAAGTGTTTATGGTTCTATTTATTAGGAGTTTGATTTTTGATTGCTATCTTGTGTCTTGTCTGTGTGAGAAGGACTTTTTAACATCACAAATCCTCCTGTTGTAATTCCAGTTTTGCTTCATTCACATATTTTTAACACACAAATCCTGAATATTTAGGATGAGTTCTTCTCTCAAAAAGGAAACACTAAATAGACAGACTAAAATAGAGGGTTACTTAAACTGTGTGACTGAAACAAAACACAACTCCAGGTATGTTTGTGATGACGTAACAACATTATAACATGGCTTAAGACTCACACGTGTCAGTTTGTCTTATATAGGACTTATAAGTATTGCAACAATGACAAGTAAAGTGCAAGTAAAGTGTGTGTATATTTACAGTGGAGAGCTGTTGGAAGGCAAACTCAAAACCCTTGGTGTAATTGGTGATCCCCTTGGCTGTGATGTTCTGCACGGCGTCTTTGAGGAGCTTCTTGTTTCTCACGTTGGCCTGCACCAGGTGATCAAAGCACGCAGTCTTCTTCACACGGGTGTTGAACTGGAGAAGACAAGAGCACAAACATGGTTGTAATTAGGCCAGTTCAGAGTAATGTCACATAGTACTTGAAATTGCTGGGTTTCAGACAACATCGCAACATTTTATAGGCCCATATTATGCAATTTTCTGATCTATGTTATAATCATCAGCATACCTGGAGTTGTGTTTTGTTTCATTTACACATTCCCCCAAAGATCAAAATGCTCTGTTCCACCTTGTGATGTCATGTAATGGTAGTTTACAAGTTAACAGCCACCTTTCACTTATTGCTTAGCAGAGATTGGCAATTTCAGGGCTGAAAGTATCCACATGATTCTAGTTAAGGTGTATAGAGTATGAAAATGTACGAAATGTATACGAGAAAGTACGAAAGAGTACGAAAAAGTATGAGAACACAGTAGGGCACTTCCTGTACTACCACATGGCATCACAAAGTGTTTTCTGTTTGAGAGAAGAACACAGCGTATTCAGGACGTATGTGTTAAATGTGTGAATGAAACAAAACACAACTCCAGGCATGTTTTTGATGAGGAAACAACATTAAAACATAAATCAGAAAATAGCATAATATGGGCCCTTTAAGCTATTTTTATTTTTATCTCCTTAATGAAAATCTTTTATTTGAATTCTCTTTAAATATCCTTTTAGCCTAACGCTCGCTAAAGCAGGTGAAGTATATTAGCAGCACAACAATCAAATTAGCTATTACTATTTATGCGTTAGCCCCCTCCTGGATACAATAAGTGTGCTAGTGCTATGTACCAGGCGCCCATACAGAGTCCCACAGCCTCATGCAGCTCCGGGGTACGCAGATAAACACTCAGATTTATCAGGCCACGCTAATTGCTTCACATGGTCTGGGTTCCTCCGTTACGTCACCATGGCAACAGGGCGAGCGTATCCAGAAGTGTGAGCATCTCCCTATAAAGGTGAGAGCTCTATTCCCAAATACACGAGAGCACGCTGGTGGTTATTTAGACTGCTAATGGCATATGGTTGAAATGAATGGGCGCTGTAAAAGCAAGGCCGATTCAAGTGCGTCTTTATATAGCGCTTTTCACAGACATGTCACAGAGACGCTTTACAGAGCATTACTCATTCACTCCACACCCGGTGGTTGTAAGATACTATTGTAGACTGACGGAAGTAAGGCTGCCAATCTGCGCCATCGGCTCCTCCGGCCACCACCACCACTCATGCTGTCGCACAATGTATTGCCTCTTTAAATGCCCATGCAATTTACTACAAAAAAGAAAGTACAGTTGCAATATTAGACTAACCAATTTCAATGCTATCGTTGTTACAACCCAGCTTGCTTGGGGTGAGGGAAGTACCATATTTTCCACACTATAGGGCACACTTAAAAGCCTTTAATTTCATCAAAAAAACGACTGCACGCCTTATAATCCAGAGTGCCTTATAAATGAATTTATTTGGGTGTCTTAGTGCAACTTTAGTAAACTACAAAGCTGAACCACTTGTAGCATTACGCCTACCGTAGTCAGGAGCATTGAGGAGTAACACATACTGTGATTCCTTTTAATATCAAAATGCCACCTGTCAAGAGACACGCTTACAACGCCGACTTTAAACTCAAGGTTATTATAAGGTTAAACTGCGAGCTGTGTGGGAGCAGTGGATGAGAGAAGACCAACACACATTCACCAAGACAGGGAGACAGCGCCGAGCGACTTACTCCACGATCTGCCAATGGATCGTGGACACCTGGGCTAAGGATCAGTATCAACTGTGGTCCGAGCTTTCACAAAGACTGGAATCATCACTGAACTGCCAGGTAACAGTAACGACACTGACTTGGATAATGACGAGAGGAATGTGCGCGTGCTGGACGCTGTAATCGCCCAACTGTTTGAACAATTATGAGTTATTGTGAATACACTAACAATTTAGCGCTGTCAGACAGTATTTTTTTTTCGTGTTACAATTGAACATTCTGAATGCATTAAATAAAGTTTGACTGACTTATCTAACTATTGTGTTTCGTTTAATGCGCCTTATAGTCTGGTGTGGTTTATATGTGAAAGAAGTTTGAAAATAGACCATTCAATGAGTGCGCCTTAATAATCCAGAGTGTCCTATAATGTGGAAAATACGGTAAAAAAAACAAAAACAAAAAAAACCCCAAGATGTTAAGTGAAATAAATGAAATAATGTTTAATGAACAGGGTCCACTGCTCCAATGAGATGGGCAAGGAGCTCTAGGAACCGAGCCCCATCCCAAGGAATCTGAAAAGTAAGAGGCTCAACCACACCTGGTTCACACTCAAACACAAAGAGTCACACACAACTGGCACCACACATTACCCACAGGCAAAATTTGTAGATGTTCAATCAGTCAATCATCATGCCCCATTAACAATTTAGAATAAACAAATCTATTCAAAACGTACCTAATACAAACCTATAGCCTTACACAAAACGAGTGGTTAGCTAAATGGACACACACAAAACTAAAACACAAGTTCCCCAAAGTAAACCACATAAGCCAAAAAACAGAATCGAGTGACCAAATAAAAGAAGGCACAAAACAGAACTAAACTACACAAATAGACACACATGAACACAAACACAAAATGGCAGACTGGAAACTAAGACCAGCAGCCCCAAACAGGCACTGACAATTTCCTTAAAAAGGGGGCGATGGCTGCAGGTGAGGCGGGCGTAGACATACCCCACCAATCACTGGCCAGAACTCCTACAGCAGGAATCAGGAGAGCTCAGCACAATATTTATAATCACACAAAACAAATTACAACTGAATTCCTGGGGCTGTAACAATCGTCTATTGTTTTTTTGTTTTTTTAAAAAGATGCACTATATAACTTTTCTTTTGTCTACCATTTACTTGTTTCCATATTATTCTGCTCCCACAGTATGGCACTCAGTTTTATATTGTATGAATTCAACCAAGATACAGTCAAAACATGCATTCTTACAGTGAGTGGGGTTGCCTCTCCACAGATCTAACCTGTAACTTGGCCTAGTGGCATCACTTGGTTATGGTCTCCATGGGGAAATACGAGTTTGATGCCATAGTTTGGTAGCCAGGCTGGCGCCCCCTAGTGCCTCCGCTCAATTTCATTTCTCTCCAGCGACTAGCTCAGGAATCAAAACACACCAGACGCTTCGCAAAAACCCCGGAAGTACAGGTTCGGGCACCAGCCAATCAGTGAAGAGCAGTGCATTCTGTGTTGTCAATGATTCCTGTGATCGAGGATTTAAAGCCATAATAAAGAGAATGTTTGGTGAATTTGATCAAGGGGAAAGACGTTATTGCCCTTCTTCCTATGGGATTTGGGAAAAGCTTAATATACCAGTTAGCCTCATTAGCGGTACATTACATGAGAAAAAGTACCCGCCTACTGTCAAACGAACGAATTCCAACGCTGCGAGGTCAGACGGTTTCTACGAAATGAAACGAAGTGAAACCGGCTGATGAATCAGGCTAAAACCTTGGAACATTCTAGTCAAGGCAAGTACATCTCCATGGAAACAAATACTAAGTGGACCACTAGCTTGAGCCCACTATGTAAATATATAAAGCAGGAATGGATGACCTTGTTGATTTCCATAAATTTTAGTTAAATTACCAATTAAAGGGTATTACAGAGTAGTTTTAAATTCCCAAACAAACAAAAAATCTGTGTCAGACACAGCCTGTATGTATAAACAGACATAGCTAACTCACTCACTGCCAAGGTCCAAATAGGAAGTAACCATGGGGGCACCTCCGGCTCCGTTGACTCAAATTAACCCGCTATACATGATCCTGGTGTTTTTATTTAGCCATTTTGTCCATTTAAAAAAAAATAAAAATCATACAGAGCTCGGCATCATATTGACTCCTATAACCTCTATAGCTTCTCCTTTAGTCCACTTTCTACAGTCTATGGTTTCAAAAAAACAATTCCTTCTTGATTTGAAGGCTTGTATGAGGACCTTTCCCCATTCACAAGATGACCCCGTAATCTGGGAAGACAGTTGCCAAAGCTTTAAACCAATGAACAGACCCTTTAACAACCTATGTATTTTATCTTGATATATTTTCTTTGTAGTAAACTAACAGCCATGTCCCCAGCAGGAACCCTCTAAAACAATAGTCGGCCATATTGATTCTTTCTGATCAATGGGTTGCTGTGAGCTGACCAATGAGAAAGCAGCACCAGCTCTATGTGTGTGTGTGTGTGTGTGTGAGTGTGTTTTTATGTGTGCGTGTGTTTTTGTTCACAATGGGCACGAAGCCTTGAAGTCCCTTTTAGAGCCACAATAACAGGAGCATCTCTGGACGCCTGAAAGGTTCGGATGCACAAAAGGACCGGATCAAGGTGAGACGACGTAAACAGCTGAGAATGAATGAAATGCTTTATGATAACACTGTGTCAGAGGAGCTATGAAAAGATAGGGGGTAGCGTTGGGGCGGGGAGGAGGGAAGGAGTGCACACAGAAGAATAAACATGTCTCTGACGAGTGGTAGTGGTGTAATAGCATTGAAGGAAAGAGTACCGGCAATTTGTACTCGAGTAAAAGTAAAATTAAAAACGTACTCAGTTACAAGTAGGCTACAAGCACATTATGTCGTTCCACTGGCTTCTAGTTCGTTTTAGAGTTGATTTTAAGTTTTTATTGTTTGTTTTTAAAGCTTTGAATGGACTGGCCCCACAGTATGTCTCGGATCTCCAAATTTACACCTCTGTGCGCTTTGACGTACGAGGGCCAGCTCTAGCTCGTGGTGACTAAAACAAGACTTAAAACCAGAGGGGACAGGGCCTTCTCTGTAGTCGGCCGTAAGTCTCTTCTTAAGACCCACTTTTATTCTCTGGCTTTTAACACCGTGTGAGTTGTGTGGTTCTCTGAGTCTTTTATTTATTTGATTCATTTTACTTATTTACTGCTAGATTTTACTGGTTGTGTTGTTTTAAGACTGGTATGACCAAATTTTAGCAATTTTATGTTCTCTGTGTTGCACTTTGAGAACTGTT